TGAATTTGTCAAGTTACAGAATTAATTAATTACTGGCTTAAATGGTTTTATGTACATCATATTTATTGCCTGTGCACTCATCAAAATGGGCAGTGCATATTTTATTATATAATAAAACAAAGCATAGTTCGTAGTGTTCCTGTTCCATATTTTTTGACTGCATGACCTCTCAAGTCCCTAACTACGACCCCTTGACGCCCTGAATGGGATTTTTTGTCTTTAAATAAATTGGGACCGTTATTCGGAAGAGTGCCTAGACAGTGCATACACCCAAATTTGCATTTTTTGGTCTAATTTGTCTAGTGAATTGACTCATTTTGCCTCAGATGTTACTTTAGCTAGTTATGTTCTATATCATATTATTTTAATTCTCAAAGACTCCAAGATTTGTATTCTAGTATACACAGACTTTGGAATCAGAAGTGTTATTGTAACAGTTCCCTGGGACCGAAAGATGGGATTTTTTGTCTTTAAATAAATTGGGACCGTTATTCGGAAGAGTGCCTAGACAGTGCATACACCCAAATTTGCAGATATCACCTAATTATACACATGCACACACTTTCATATATAAATGTAGTCACTTCATACTGAGTATCTTTAATAATTCAGTTTGCGATTAAATTTACAGTTTACAAATCTGAGTATTATCTGTTTTAACATTTGCAGTACCTGTGCGTGTTTTATTAACAAAACATAAACAGCACTTCTGTTCATACACCTATATATTTTTTATTTATAATAGAGATGTTTGGTAGCCATGCCAGGTTCATTGTTCATTGTTCATTTGAAGATCATCTTCATCGCACATTACCATAAGTGCTCGATCTTCCCCTAAGTATGTCTCCAAGTGTTTTTAGGCTAACAACTTCCATTCTATTCTGGTTGTGTAATGACAGGTGTCTCCCACATGGTTTTCCTGTCTTGCTGCTCCAGTTGGTACCCCCAGGGAATGCAGTCTGTTCAGTGAAAATTCATTTTCCACGAAGCTGAAAGCCTTACAACATTTAGTCTCTCCTATAGCATTGAAGGTATCTCTCCTGTCCATAGATGGCCCATTCCTTATAGTCGCACTGCCAGCCAGGGGGTCTGCTGCTCTCATTGCCTTTCACACCAGCATGACCTGGGACAAAAATGAAGATGATTTTGCAAAATGCTTCGTTCTGTATCAAACGGAGCCACTGTTTTCTTATATGCGCTGCCCTGATCTTCTGAAGCATCCTCATCGAGTCAATGAGCAAACATGCGTTAGTGAATTCCTGAGTTTTCAGCCATTTTGAGGCCTTTGTAAAAGCTATGACCTCTGTTGTCATACTGTTGATGGTAGAAGCAAAGGCTTCACTGTCCTCTTTGATGACTTCCTTCAGTTCTTGCAGTGAAAGCCCATGCACTTCACTTTGCTACTGAATGTAAAATTTACCTAGAAAAATGACAGCAGCTAAAAAATGCAGGGGTTTGTTCTACACTGTTCTGTAAAGGATATGCAACTAACTTTAACTAGCCCTCGCCTCGAGACACAACATCTGGGTTGCTTGCTGCTTTTGGTTGTCCAAGGAATTCAAATAATTCTTCTTCAAAAACCACATCTGAGGCCTGAAGAAATTGTTTGTTTGGCTTGTTTATTAATTGTCCAAGATTCAGAAACCATATATTAGAACTAACTGTAAATAGCATGCAAGAATTATGTTTATCACCTCCAGTATATTGTGTATAAGGTCTCCTATTTTACTGCACAGATTGAACGTTTTGGAGATCCTAATGGCATTATACAGTTTACTGGGGTAGCTACCCAGTTCAGAGAAGTCCTAGAACCTGATGGGTCTACCCCTTCTAATATGGTGTTCCCTGTGACTAGAAAGAGTGGTACAGGGGTCAGTGGGACTCAGCAGGTAGGTTTCAGCCCATTTGTACAGTAAGAAATGTATAAGGAGACATGTAAACGTTAGTTCTTTAGCAGAAATCACTGCTAAGCTGTAGAGTTTTAGGCCTACTTAAATTTGTCTTCTTTGACATATACAGTTTTTAACAGAATATAAAAACAATAAATATTAAGGATTGGTTATGACTTTTGGTGAGATAATTTACATGGAAAAGTTCTTAAAGGCAAAGTTTTATCAGACAACAAAGAGGCTCATCAAGGTGCACTTTTCATTCGCCGACATACATAGTTCTGCATGTACAGATATATACACAACCCTTTCATTCTGAGGAACAACAGAAGTGACACTCCAGTTTGGGACCAATTCTTCATAAATATAAAAGCTGGCATAGTACCTTGAAAAGTACCCACCATTCTGAACATAATCAGCCACTTAGTGCAGTCAACAACATGTACAACAACAATAACAACAACACACACAAAAAAGCATTCCACATGAAATCCACAGTGTCATATCAATCACTCAACTCAGGAGCTGGGTGATGGAACTTTCAGAATCCTGGTTCAGATATGGAGAATTTGCATCAGTAAAACCTAGTTGGAAACAAACAACTTTTCACAGCATCAGCAGTCAGCTATCTGCCATTTTGGCCAGAAGTTTACAGTGATATACTAAATGAAATAATGGAAAAAAGGGGTCATAGTGCTAAGCTTATCTTATATAAATTGATTCCAGTAAATAAGTTTATTAATTTAAGTAAGTAATGCTCGGATCTAAGTTGGGAAATGTGCATTATGGGACAGGAAGAGCTAAGATAAAAAATGGGACAGAATGGGTGAATGTAAAATGTGATTTAAAATTAATGTCTGGTATGAAATCATGTTTTGTAATGGCCATTTTCTGCAGATTTTTTGGGAAGTGAGACCAAACAGTGTTAATAATACTGATGTTCAGCCAGCAAATGGATCTGTCATGCTGGAGGAAGGAAAAAGAGATGGTCAGATAATACTGCAGATTTTGCCAGATGATGTCCCAGAATTGAATGAGAATTTCCTACTTGTTCTAGTCAGAGTGCAAGGAGGTGCCCAGCTTGACCCCCAGTTTGTTCAGTCAAATTTTAGCATCAGGTAATCATTCATTTGTGTGCATTTTTAATTACTCTTTGTTAACACTTTTTTTCCTTTGTTTCCCCCATTATATATCTTATTTTAATGTTTTCAATTAGTCATGGCTTTGCAAGGCATTCTTCAAGTCATTTCTTTTTTTTTACTGACTTCGGGTTGACCAAGGTGAAGTTTCCACAAGGGATGTGTGGAAGAAAATCATTGTTTGACATGCTTTGCTTCTATTGTTCCTCTTCTGAACTAAAATGGAGAGTAAACTATAACTACTGATATTGTGATTTTGGAAAACATGACATTTTACATATTTTGTCATGAGTCACAAAGATAAATTTCAGAACTTTGCTATGCAGATGACACAGTCTTTCTGTTCAACAGTACATAAGGACTAGAAAATGTTATCGTGTCTGTCCAAAAACACAGTGAAAATCAAAAACCTTTTCCTGAATTTTATGAAAACAAAAGTAATGTCTACAGACAGAATTGCATGTTATCCAGAAATAACTATAAGTGAAAGAGACATGCAAAATTTCACATACTTTGAATATCCAGGCTCCATAATCAATATCAGTGGAGACTGTTCAACAGAAGTTGAAAGAAGGGTGGCTATGGCATTGTGAATACTAAACAGCATTCAAAATCTTTGATTAAGCACCAGCAAGCAAAACAAGGTCAAAGTTTTAGCTCATGCATCTTACTTAGCATGATATGAATGTGAACTGTGGACTATGTTGCTTTCATTAACTCATTCAGGCCCATGAATTTTGACAGACTTGGCCCACATAATTTTCCCTTAACAAAAATGTCAGAGGGGATGGTGTACAAAAAAGGCAATATAGAATGTAATATACTTCTAGTCCCTACAAAAGTATATATTTTTTAAAAGAGAAATAAATGTACATTTTAAAAATAATTATAAGTATATGTTTAATGCTGTTATAGTTAGTAGGAAAAAAAGAACTTAGCAGGTGTTAATTTCACAACAACAAACTTTTACAAAACAATTTTTCACTTGCCATGGTTTTGCAGCCACAAGAGCAATGAATATTCAAATTTGAGAATAACACTTTAAAGCTTGTTCAGTTTCCTTACAAATTCGAAAGTTATGAAAAGTTTCTGAGTTAGTTTAGCACTCAGGGGCTCTAAGTTCTCACAGAGTGCTGAGCAAAATTTAAAAAAAAAAAAAATGGCAGAAAAAAAAAAGGCTAATACACACACACTATTTACTATTTACTTTGTACAGTTATATACAGGCTATAGCTGCATTGATTTCAAGGTAGCTTAGCCATAGTATAGTATTGTCTATTTATTTGAAGCACTTTCCTTCTTTTGCACCCTAAATGTGGTAGCAGTGGAACATTCTCTGTGTAAACTCATGGGAATCACTAGATTCCCAAACAGCTGATCGCTTAGCTGCTGCTGGTAAAAATTCACCATCTAAATCACTTTACGAAAAACCTAAATTCTCATTATCATTATCAGAATTAAAAAATATCTGACTGAAACAATTTCAGAGCTTGGGTCATAGAAAGACACATTCTGCTTGGAACAGGTGTTCATGACACTCAAAAATGAACTTAGAAAATGCACTGTTGAAAGAAATGTAGCTGTAAATCCTATCAATCTATGCACATGTGTCTTGGGATACAGAATGTTATTAAAATGAAAACCTTTAGATTAACCTTTCCTGAATACTTTTAGGGTAGTTCTGAACATTAGAAACAATTATGGAGCCGTGTGCGATTATATACGGGACACACGATTGACAGTGTTGTTTGGGCAAAACAGAACTTCTCAATTACCACTCACAGCATTGCTCAGGCCTTAAAGAGTTAAGGAATAAAATAAAGGTTTTTGAGCTGAAATGCATTAGAAAGAAGATTCTTGAAAAATAACTACAACTCTAGGAATAATACCCACAAATGTAATTATGTGATGTCATACTACTCAGAAATGATTACTTTGACATGTCTGACAAATATGCCATTGTATCTGCTAGGTTTAACGATCAACCTCATGGAGAGTTCTGTGCTATTTCTGAGTATCAAAGCATTGAAGTTAACAGTGTTGACATGGCAAGGCAAATCAGACTGAACTTTACCAGATATCAAGGGGCCTTTGGTTCTGTTATTCTCACCTTTAATGTCCAGTATGATATTGTAAGTATCATGAGATTTCATTTTAGTAGCTGGGTTTAATTAAAGTTATATAGACTATCAAAGCACGTTGTTTATTGAAAGTTTGATAGTAAAAGGCTAAAGATGATTGTTGAAATTCATGAGTCCAGAAAACATCCCACACTGCTAACATCATAGAATGGGATTTTATTTCAGTACAGGGAATATTACTCCAAATGATAGATTAGATCCACATACAGTGAACATCAACAAAGTAACTATTTGCAAAAGGTCAGTGTCTGTTATCCACAAACTACAAGACTATTTAAACAGGCTAAATTAGATAATGTAATACGAAAATAAATACTGTAAAATCTTGTTAGCATGCATTCAAAGAGACTGAAAAATCCAGACTTTCTGTTAAAAATGAATGCTAACCAAGCAATGGTAATACAGTAGTCTGTAAAATATCCCTGCTGGCACCAAAATATTGTCATGTAACTGAATTGTCTTCTCAAGTGAGATGGTGTTAATGAGGTTTTACTGTACTACTAAAACTTGAAGAAGGCAGGTCAGTAGAATTTCAGTCTGGTACATCTAGAGCTGAACAGTACTAGACTGAAACAAGTGAATGATTTTTATAGTCTAGGAAGTAATTTTTGGAGGGTGGCTGAATAGATCAGGAATAAGTAACAAGATGAGTTTTGAGTTTGATTATCTTCACAGCACTCTGGACACATCCATTGTTGCTCATATTCCCTCTTCAACACATTCATCAGCGGTGTGCACTTAATAGTGTCAGTCCTATGCTGGTTGACAAGACTTTGGATGCGACCGATGTGCTTCTCATACTTGGCTGTGCCAGTCTTTACTCCCAGTTCTTATATTCTTAGCAGTAACAAGCTGCTAATGGGATAGTTCAATTATATATTGCCTCTGCTGTTATTGAGACATCCAAACATAAGTATGACTATCAAGAAATAGATTATAAACACCATATTCATACCAATAATGTGCTACAGTTTCAAACCTGGCTATCTATATAACATATATACCTATGAGATTAAAAGCTTGAGGAAAGATGCCAAATTAACCATCTGAGATCAAGTTAAGACATGATTAGAAACAAAACCTTTAACCAAATTTATACAGCAGCAGATCAAACACTTCAGTCACCTCATTAGAATGCAGGGAACATACACGGGCAATATAGCTTAAAAAAAAATATATAAAAGCAAGAGGCTGTCAAGGAGAAAATGAATTGATGACATTAAAGACATTCTGCATCTAAATGCATGATCAGTAGGTTACTATAGTTCTTTTGCAGTCTATGTTGCATTTTATCCCCATGAAGAAGAAGAACAGAAGAAGAAGAAGAAGAAGAAGACGAAGAAGAAGAAGAAGAAGAAGAAGAAGAAGAAGAAGAAGAAGAAGAAGAAGAAGAAGAAGAATTTGCATTTCAATTAATCTTTTCATAGCAGGATGAAGTTTTTGTGTAAGCTTCACCAACTGTGGACTCCTTATTGACTCTTACATTTTTTTAAAGCAGTTTGAGCATGTTGATTAACTCTGTATTACTGCTGCATAAATCAAGACATGAATAAAAGTAAAGAGTAAAGAATGTTTTTTAAAAAATCTATGCCACAGAAGCACCAGGCATAAGAGAGCCTTTTTTTTTATAGACCATTCAAAATTTGATTAGTTATGTGGTCGACATCATTTCGGCTGCCTGTGCTTCCTAGAAAACTTTTTGATACTAATTTAAATCTGGATTGACCTGAAAGCCTTTCTTAATTATTATTAGAAGTCTGCTTTGATGTAGATTAGAACCCAATATTTTCAGTTTGGCAGGCAAGTATCAAGCTATTGTACTACAAAATATTATTAAACAGTTGCGGTTAACTATTTCTGTCCCAAACAATGCCCTATGTATAATTGATTTATTATTCACACCTACCAGTCAACATTTTACGTATGTTTTTACATCTTATGTTTAGTGAGCGACTTTGAAGAACTCTGAAAACGTATTTGTTGCCTGCAAGGGTTGTACATCTGGCACGTCTGAAGTAGTAGAACCATACGTTTAGTGGTGTCTTTTTTTAAAAACTTCCTCGGACCTTAGATAAGACCTTGTGGGACTCAAAGAGTTAATAAGAGAATAATATTTATTCCCTACTACAGGGTGATGCTGGAGTTGGTGTGAACCCGAGCACTGGTACTGTTACATTTCAAGATGGAGACCGGCAGGCATATTCTCTTGTCTCAATCATTGGAAAGGGATTTGTTCGACTGAACTCAACTTTCACTGTTTACGCCACAGATGTTCAATATCTGGGATCAGGAGGTAGTACTTACGTATGTGTGAAAATAATGTAGATGTTTTTTTATTGAACATGATCCAGGATGGTGTGGTGAATATTGTTGATAAGTAGTTTCTGAGCTTACGAACATGATTGTTCGTGATAGACCTAAACTTATACAATACACACCATGGATTTCTACTCAGATAAAGTAAATTGAAGGAACATGTCATCCTGGCTACAAATGGTGGAATCTAATATGTGTGAACTTCATAATTTCACAGTCCTGTGGAGGCATTGGTTATAGGGTTGCTTTAACTTTTAAACTAAATGTTAGATAGATTTTATTCCATTCTTATTAATATTTTTCTGTGTTCAGAAAACAACACTGGCATCATTCTTATGGTAATCCTTATTATAGATCATTATTATGGTCAGTCTGTTTATTCATAAAGCCCCCTTAGTGTAGCAGCTAGATGTTTGCCTGTGGATCTAAAGGTATCAAGTAAATTCCTGGGAAGTTAAGGTGGCCAGCGTGATGTTGCCCACATCACCCACTGAGAGCCGATTGGTCTATAAAATACAGTGTCTAGCGTTGTATCCCAATACACTTGATGGCATGAAAAAAGGTCCTTTATTTATTTTTATTTTTTCAACGTTCACTGTTTATTCATTTGTTAATCCCATCCACTGTTTGATTTGTTTTGTAAAGCATTACTCAAATTGTATTTGGATATCTGCATAACTGCTTCAGAGGTGAATCTACAGGAATCACATATAAATATTCTTTGCAACTTTTTAGATTGGAAGAATTTGACATGCAGCTGTTCATTTTTTTTTAAAGTTTTCAACTCTGAGAGTTTTCTTAGTTTTTTCATCCTTGCCAGAAAATACTAAATATCTGATTTATGAAACCACATGTAACTCTTTCTTATGATCTGAACAATGTTTCTAGTTTTGTATTCAGAACTTTAGATAGGTATTTTGGAAATTACAAGTTGCATTAGCTTGCCTTCATAATTGACACTGTGGATTCTGTGCTAGCATTTCTGACTGACTGTTATATAGAAAGGAAAGCACATGGCATTTTTGTACTTGAAAGTCTGTGGGTTTCCTTCTCATTCATGCAGACTGCAAAAAATGGAACTTTCCTAGCAGCTCACAAATTCATGCTTGCATAACAGTGTGTAGATGGTGGATGGATAATATACAGGCAGACCTACAAACACTTAGATTTCAACAAATGGACAGAGAAAACCTGTCACAGAGATGAATGGAGGTTGGTGATATAAGCAACAGTAAAATCCAAGGGCTACGAATGCTGAAGAAGAAAAAGAGGATAACAGTGTGTGTGATGAAGCAAACGAGGCATACGTTATAGTGTGTGAAGCAAAAAGGCATACATCCTAGTGTTAACTTTTTCTAAAGCATTGTTAATTGTGGACCATTTATTAAACAAGTACAGGCAAAATAGCAAAAGTACATTATGCTGTATCTAGTCAACTGTAGGGAGCAGTGGTGTGCAATGACTTTAAAAAATGTCTGCTGACCCAAGAGCCTTGGGTTTGACTCTACATTGAGTTGAATTTTTATAACTGACCCTAGCTCTCATGTTGACTCAGCCTAAAATGGGTTCCAGGAAATGTCCTACAATGTTGACCAAATCACCTGTCGCCTGACAATTGGTCTATCATAATACAAGTTTGAAACCATACCTGATATTTCCATAGCAACAAAAAGTACTTTTTTAAAATTATAAAGAAGCATGGCAAATTAATTCATAGCAATGTATCCCCATTGTAAATTTCAACAAAGAAGAGACAAGTAATAGATTGCACACTTTATTGCGTGGTATGTTTCACTGTATCACATGGGGTGATTAAATAAATTGGAGCAAATAAGGGAATCCTTTACAATTAATGAATTTCAGCTTCAGTTATAAATGATTTACTTATTTGCTTCATTTATGTAATTGTTCCTGTAGCATGCACCTGACGCGATCCAGCAAAATATGCCAGGCAATAAATTATGCAATCTATTGTTTGTGTCTTCTTTGTTTAAAATAATTTATAATTGATGGCTGACTTAAATTGTAAACTATTCAACTGTGTAGTAACAGAAGCACCAACAATCAGATCTGGATGTTCAAAGGCACAAATAAAAGTTCCTGGACTGGCTGCAAATACGGAAATTAGCTTCGCACATGATCTGGGATTTGTTAATGAAGGTAATATCCCTTCAGACATCTTCATTTTATTGAATTATTAGTCTCTAAAGATTTCAGTGGATGATGTGTGGTTAAAGTCGGCGAACCGGTTTACCAAGTCAGTGTTGTAGTTAAAGCTGCTTGCAGGGAAGGAAAACGTGAGGGATTTACCATTCTGGAGACCATACTTGCAGGCAGGGGCATAGACATAAAGAAAACATTAAAGAGAGAGAGAGAGAAGGCTCAGCAGATTTAATATTTTCTAGGGGGGAAAGGGGGGGGGGGGTGGTAGGAAAAGCTAAATCCTCTTTAAGGTCATAATATACTGTCCTCAAAAATAAAGGCAACCACTGTTGAAGTTGCAATGGCCAGCAAACTTCATAGTTGTACCAGAATTATTACTGTTCCAAGTTCAAAGCTCATAATTATCAGATGAATAAAGTTCAGGTCCACAAATGAATTTTATGATCAGATGAAAATTTCAGTCTATTTCCCCTTGTCCGAGCAGCAAGCTTCATTTTCAGTTGCAATATCTCATATGTCGCCTTTCTTGTTGTGGACAGTATAATAACAATGTGCTGAATGGCAAATAAATATAATATGTTTGAAATTATATATGGAGGACATACATATTGAGCTTCTGTAGATGGTGGGGGGGGGGGGGGGCTTAGCTGCCTTGCAAATTGGGGGAGGGATGTGGGCTCAAAGTATTTAAGCCCTTTAGTTCTGGTAATCCTGCTACTACTACACCACTGGCATGGAACTAGGATATAAGGTTTTGGTTAAGGATTGCTTTCATGCAGATGGTTGTCTCAGTGAGTGCCCTAATCTCCTTACATGGGTCACATCAGGACAATCTCAGTTAACGGTGTATGTATCTAAATAACATTTACTATAAACATTCCTTTTTCTTTTTCTCCTCCACCTGCTACTGCTGCTGCATTTGCCCTTCAAAGGGAAGTTTGCACATAGCAATGTGGTCTACAGCTAGGCTGCAATATGTGAGCTTTTCAGCCCAAATAATTTGATGTCATCAAAACCCTAGTTAGTTGTCTTTTATGACATGCTTGTTAGAGGGCAGTGGGTCTGTTCTTTTTACCAAAATGGGTTCCCAGAACCCACACTGGAAAATGTTTTATTTGTGGGTAGCTTTCTCATTTAGAAGGAAAAAAACACATAAACTAGCTTGCAGCCTTTTTAACCTATTATTTACCATGTTGTAATGATATCATATTTGACTATAGTAGCTTTGAAAAAGTTGATAATTCTAAAGTTATATGCAAGATTTACGTATTGCTTTAGTGACAGCTGATGCTGTATTATGTGTTTGTATATGCATGTGCATGCTCACCTGCGTAGGTGCACCTTCATGGATGCCTTTGTGTGTGTGTGTGTGCATGTGTGTGTGCGTTCATGTTTGTGCTCGTGTTTGTGTGTGTGTATTTGTGTGTGTTCATGTTCGTTCCCCCTCTACCTTAAAATTTCCCCACACACCCTCTTCCTTCAAGATTGCCTTCTAAAAGATTAACCCCCGTGACTAGAAGAGCTACTGTGTTGGGAAGAATCCAGACAAATGGCAAATCCCATAAACTCTGTTTAACTGTATAGCACACTAACACATCAGGACATCTGATGCTTGCAAAGTAACCTGCAGTCCAGTACCCATGAATGGTTTATACCAAAAAAAAGTGTTTTTTTATGTGGTTTTTATTTGCAGGTGACCGTACATTAACTGTCTCACTCATGCGTGTTGGCACATACGGGAGTCTTGTTGTTGACTGGGTCGGCGGCTACTCTTCTGCTGATCAACCGCCCAATGTAACAAATGGGATTATCAGCCCAACTTTTGGCTCAGTTAACATGGCACATGGGCAAGAGACAGCCAATGTCACTGTTCAGGTAGCTTTACTTTAAAAATATAGTTTATGCTATAAAGAAAATTGTTGAAGGCATTTTGTTCTGGCATGGAGGTGTATCAGCATATTAACCGATACATGCTGTTAGAAATTGCGGGTTGTGGAGAGGCATGATCACCCATGCCAATTGGCAAAGCACTTGAGGATGATGGTGATTATTTTGTATCTTAATTAGGGATAGAGATTATATGTGTCAACAAAACAATTTAAAAATAAATATGTAAATTCATTGTTACATTGTTCTAGTACATTTGTTGGCTTACATTTGAAACGTACGTAAACAATATGTTTAACAGAATAATGTTAAGTAAATGCAGCCATTCTTCTGTTGCTTCTCAATGTTCAAATTAAAACAACAATTAATTGTTATCACACTTAAGTTAAAATATGTATCCACATTTTCTACTGTGACATATTAGTAACATAGTACAATGATTAACTATAATTAATATTTTGTCAGAACATACTAAAAACATCTGGCTTCTCAATTAGTCACTACAGCTTTGCATATTGCCACTTTGAATGTAATTAATTCATAATTTTTTTTTAACTTTACATATTTCCCATTAAACCTTTTTGTTCCAAAAATGTTAATAGTATGTTGGCAAGACTACCCTGCCTTGGCTGGGCTTGTGTAATTGTAATTCACCAGTGATGTTTAATTTGCAGCTATCTCCTCAAGTGGATCATCCAGAAGCGTTTGTGTTGCGACTGCCTCGACCTCCTCAGTCTCTTGTCAGTGGTGGAGCTCAGCTTGCTGCTTCAAATCTGATGACCCATGTTGATCCATCTGGGCTGATTCGCTTTTCGGATACATCTCTGAAAGCACAAGTCTCTGAACTAGAAGGGCAGGTAATATTCAATGTGAATAGTTTATTCCATGTGAAACATAGGTATATATTTTTTTTTGGGGGGGGGGGGGGGGGGGGGGAAGGGGGGGGGTGGGGGGGGGAGAATGCAGTATCTCTTCTTGTTATCATACTGTTGGCCTGACATTATAGATAGAGGGTAGCGGCACTTACCAGCTAACTACTTTGAGCATGATGGAGATAAATGCTGCTTCTAGAGCACTCGCATGGGTAGCAGAACAAGCAGCCACACATGTGTTTATCATTTCAGACTTTATTAACATGCTTCACACAGATAGTCTACGTTCCAAATGGGTAGAAATTATTTGGAAGTCGCAGTTAAACTCCATCATCTGAATCTACCTACCTGGGCACCCAGGAGTTACTGGTAATGAAAGAGCTGACCAGCTGGCAAGTAATGCACTAATGCAAGTGAGAAGAAGCATGGATAGAGCTGATATCATCAACGCTGTATGGACTAGGTTGATGCTAACATTACAGTTTGACCAAGGAGTTAAGCTTGATTAAGCACGTCTATGCCATCTTCGAAGTAAAGACAGAAGATACTGTAACCAATTCCTCATAGGAACAATCAGAAGAGGTACCTTGGAGTGGCTGCTGCATCAGAGGACTAGCACGCATGGGGGATGCTTAGTATGCAAAGACGTAGATTGTGATAATATAACATTAAATGATAACTATGTTTATGACACTTATTTTAGAACAGGCTCATGTAACATATGGAAGGTGAAGAGCAATATTTCATAATTTGTTTAAATCAGCACTATTTAATGGCATCATGAGGGTTAAAAGACTACTGTGCTTTGGGCATATAGAGAGAATGGCAGACAACAGAGAGACCAAAAATTATTGAGGCTGCATTCTTACAAAAATGATCAATCCATTTGATCTTCAGTTTCTGAGAATATTTTGCAAGGTGTTTGCAACTGGTAGCTTTTCTTGGTATGAATATATAATCTGTTTCGTGGTGGTTAAAAATGGGGAAATACTCTTGCAACAAGTGTGATATCCCAATAACCATCTGGATTATAGTGAGATAGGTAAGGCCTTTTAGACGCAGCATGTGCGTTTATGAGAGCAGAGCTTTGCTTGCCTACAGATAATTAACTCTTTGAATCCCAGGGAACGCATCACGCGCTAATTTGTTACAACCGCCAGGCCCAATCGATGCATGACAAGTGAAGGTTTTTAATTTACCGCTGACCAGTCATAAAATGTGGACCGCTCAATTTCAACTTCCTTTCGAGTACTTTGTGTCTGATATCAGGCGGGCTCATTTAAAAACGTGGTATATAGTATATTTGCAAGATTTACCGAGTTACTAAGCGTTTGTTTGTAAAGAATTTGACGGCCAACATGATTTACGGCTTTAGAAGCCTCAAATTTAAATAAAAGCGAGTGTTTATTGATTTATCTGAAGTAAGATAGATAACGTTGTGAATTAGACGTGTTTCAGTCATTAAAGTATCAAACATGGATGAGGGATATATCTAATGTGTACATCTCGCGAAGGCACAGCGATAGCAAAGTCAGCTGGCATAAATAGAATCAACATTAGTGAAAAGACAATTTTCTTCAGTATCAGTTAGTTCTAGTGCTATTTCCATTATTATTTAGGAACATAGCTACAAAATTACAGGCAAATTGAGTGTTATGTAAACTTTGTTTTGTGAGAAGATACTTATTGTTTTTGGAGTCAGTTTTCTTTACCACATAATGATGCTCTGTTATGATGCTTCAAAAGATTCTTCGGAACAAAATCTAACATATAGATTGTGTTTATATTTTACTTAGACATTACTAAGTGGTTCCTATTCATTTGTGATTCATTTTGGATATATTTTAACCAGTTTTCTTTGAGTGCCATGGTGGTAAGTGGAATTTTTTATGTTTCATTTTACTAATTTTTGTAAACATACCATCTATTTACTTACTAATATTTAATTACTAACGTAATTATTTGTTAAAGCTTTATTCTATAATTATTCCTCAACAATCCCTGGTCACTTTAATGTATAATATGTGTATGTTGTGTGGCAATTGAATTAGTATGGTCTGTTTTAATGTGTTACACTTGTGAAATTAAAAAAATTACATTACCACCTCTTGGGCCTCTGATGTTCAACCCCCTGGGACTCAAAGAGTTAATCTTGTGTTCAGACTTGCATCTGGGAAGAATGATAAAGCTGAAAAAGACTCCAAGGCCAGCTGAGGCTATAAAAGAGGACCAGACAATCTCAGAATATTCTAGAAAGGAAAGAAAGGAAATTCTCTACAACACTTCATTAGGTCTAGATATATAGTAGATTTACACATCACACCCTAGAGGGCATACTGTGAGACTATCTTTACTTACCTTGGCATATTAAGTGACATTTTAAAAAAATGTGTTTAATTAATTCCTAATATATTATTTATTACTGTAGTAATTAAAATTCACAAGAAATATTGAGTTTTCCATTTTATTTTATTTTGTAATTGCTTGACTCTATTGATAAAAAGTTACCTGAATTTGATAGTGGAATGTTGTGTGAAACAAATGTTTCTGCTGATTCATGTGACTTCTGAAATATGTTTTACTGTATTTCAAACATTTTAGGTGATCTTAACACTGTGGCGCTTGTATGGATCTGAGAGCAGAATTGCTGTGCACTTTCAAACATTGTCAAACAATGCTTCCGCCGAAGCAGGTGATTTCACAGCAATACCAGATGGTGTTGTTGTCATGGAACCTCAGCAGACATTAGCAAACATTACAATACAGGTAAGTTTTTATCTCAGTGAACTGGCATTAATAATTTATTATTCTGCCTATCTACCTACATACCTGATGTTGCACCTGTCCTTCTCCTTGCACAAGTCAGTGTACACTGCAGACCGTTTAGGACGATCTCAGATGTAGCGAATTTCTGTTATGAAAAGCAATTTATTTATCCATGCACTTTTCTTGCTTGAATTCTTATTTGGATATGAAGAATTTTTTATAAGAAGAACCATTTCTTAGGTCCCCTGTGAGTTCTCCGTATCAGGTCTGCACTGTATACAAATATCTACCAGCCTGGCTGCTGTGTGCTCCCTGTGCCTGCCTGTATGACTAGCTAATTACCTAACTGCTTTAACTATATAGTTAACAAACGAGGCACACAAATACACATAAAAAGAATCACATGCACTCATATATATATTTACATATATAAGATAAACAGCAGTTGAATGCTATAGAGTCATGTCACACACTAGTGGTACTGAAAGCTAGTTGTAGGCTGTGAATTTACAAGTTTTAAAAAAGTTCATGGTTGGAGCTCCAGTCATGTAAGTTATCAGGAAACAACAATTGACTATCACGTTCATTTTGCAAATATATCTGCCAGCCCATTCAAAATAAAAGTTTGTGTCCAAAAGGATGCAGATTCTTACACTATAGCAAGTTTATACAGGTTAAATGCATTTAGAAAATAGAATATCTCATATTTGAATTTCATTGAAATATTTCTCTTGTTCAGATTCTTCAAGACAGTGTCCCAGAGCAGACAGAGACTTTCTTTGTCAGCCTGACAAGTGTGGAGAAGTATCCCACACCTCTACAACCAGGTAGTTTGTTGCAACTGTCATTTTGTCAATTTATTCCATGTATTTTTCATTAACCACTTATTTGATCATAATTTTATCACACTTAGTTCAACATCGAGGAGTGGCTGGATGAACAGTTAGTTGAGAACACAGTTCTGTTATGCAGGAGACCTGAGTTCAAATCCTTGTTAAGATTAAGAATTTGTAAGAAACAAAGATGAAGTTGTTTGGCCATCTCACTAGAATGCAGCAGCATCAAATACCATCACAGGCAGTACATCTCATAAGATCAGCTTACAAGAGCAAGAGTATAAAAAAAAAAGGGGAAACAACATTAAAGACACTTTATGCTTTCATGGCATACCAATAGCCAGTGGGAACCAGCATGCACCGGATCACAAATTATCCCCCCCCCCTCCCCCCATGATGCTTATTGGCAGAAGTGATTTATGCTGATGATGATGATGATCACATATGGACAACAATAGAGAGAACAAGACAATGACACGCACAATCACACACATATATATTCATAGGCACTATCTATATGGGAATACTAACCAACATACACAGACCCACACACACAGTTCACAGACACACAAACAAATACCCACACATGCACACCCCCGCTCCCTCTTTTTCCCACACCTACACACAGGCAAAAATTTGTATTTAAAATAGTGGAGAAGTTTCCATAGTTTTCTTTCATATTTTTGCGAGAAAAATATTACATACAAACTCACATCCTAAATACTTGGTGGCAATAAAGAAGTTAATCAAGTTATTCATTAAATACAAACATTAAATGAAATACCCTCACAGAGTGAGTTTAAAGAAACATTTGTAAAAATACAAAGATGATAGATTATGTTTGCATATTTTGTAGATTTATTCATGTTAAAGTGGAGTTCAGCTTATAAATGTAGAGACCAAACCTTGAACTATATAAATATCCATGTCAGGTACTCAGTTTAAAAATTAGTCTGTGCATTTGTTTACTACTCCTTTAAAAAAAAAAGTTAAATGTTTTTCATAGGATGTTAAAAACTGTATGGTTTTGCTGGGCCATTTTACCTTTAGAAGTTCGCTATTGCTTTCTGAACATTACAACTACTATATGGTTTTCAAATTCATAGAGTGTATTTCTTGTTACTACAACATAAATCCAGCCTTTTTACTGTTCATATTCTTGGGAAATTAATGTGGTGGTTTTGCCCTTGTATTCTGAAGTTTTAGTCATTAACCCTACCAGACCTGACGCCCTGAACCTAACTGTCCCTATAACCTGAGCTCCTGGGCACTAACACGCAAAAAACCAACATGATGTACAAACAAATTAGTTACATGCAAACAAGTGGTTAGAATAAGATAAAACTTGGAGACATTGTAGAAAATAGGTTTACCTTTCATCTAGTGCCAGTCTTCCCCCTTTTTGTGCCAATCCACCTAGTAGGATCAGCCTTGATTCGCAAAGTAAGCACCAGATGTTGCTGTTTGAGGGACACGCCCCTTTCTCTTACTATCGATCTAGTTTTAAATCTATAATTTTCATAATTCTCCTCCTCACTCTAGCTCTAACTGACTGTGTCACTTCAACTGGGAACGTATTCTTTATGAACGTATTCACAGTCTGAATTAACCAAAGTATCGATCAACTGTTGGACTGTGATAAGCCTAGACCTACGTCACTTTCTTGTCAAAGCTACTGGTCTCATTGAGAATTTTCCTAATTTTTTTCACATCAAACCACACAAAGAAATCTCAACACACGTCGGAAGTCATTCGCAATGACTTACAACGAAGTCTGATGGCTAGTTATTTTTAGTCTGTGACGCATATTTGTCACGTACTACGTAAATTCCCGGAAAAGTGGGCCAGCGGTTTAGCGGCTGGTTAGGAAATTCCTGGAAAATCGGGCCAGCGGTCTGGTAGGGTTAATTAAGTTTCCAACATCACTGCAGACAGGTCACATCATAACTGCTGTCTACACAATGTCCTATTGAGAAACTTACCAGTTACAGCTTAATCTTGAAGTTTGCATGCACACACAAAAAGTATAACGCACCTGTCAGATGTGCCAACACTAACAGTCCTACACCATAATTGCAGCTCACCGCTGGTGCAAACGGTCGGTCAGTTCTGAAAGCTGGCACTGCACCTCAAAAGTACATACCATTCTGAGTGTAATCAGCCGCCTACTATTTTATTGTAGTAAACAATACACTGCAAATACAACAGAATTAAAATGTCACATGGTATCCACAGCTCATAGTGTTGCACCAAGCATTTAACTTAGTAGCTGGGTGATGGAACCTTTGGACTTCTGGTCCAGAAATGGAGAATAAGCATCAGCAAAACCTGGCTGGAAACAACTTTTCAGAGGGTCACTGGTCTACCAGCCATCAGCCATTTTGGCAGGAAGTTCAAGCAATGTATTCTGTATCCATACAACAAATATAAATGCTAAAATATAGCTTGTGTTGTTTGTTTGCTTTGATATTTCGGAAGCATTAAATACATTAAATGTTATATTTACAGCTCTGAGTCCCAGACTTTCCAAGATTTATTCAGTTAGTCAAATTAGCATCAAAGAAAGCACTGATGCTTATGGAATTATATACCTGAAGCCCACACAGATAAATGTCAAAGAATCCTTCACTGTTGTTTCACTTACCGTTGTCAGATCAGGTCAGTATTAAAATCTTTCAGTGATTTTAATTATAGAGAGACAGGGGAGGGAGAGAGGGAGGGAGGAAAGGGTTTACCAAAGTGAACTTTAGTATATCATATAACTGGGTAGTTTAATAAATCCTTTCCACAATACTGGATTTGATGTAATTAAATTAGCCACTGTGATTCATAAAAGCAAAGGATCCTTTTCCTTGCCTTCAGGCGTATTGGGTATATAGGGCTAGACCTATTTTTTTATAGACCAAACAGCACTTTGTGGGTGATGTGGTCTAGCATCATGCCGGCCACCTTCACTTCTCAGGACTGTACCTGGTACCCATTCAAGGCTGGGCTGACCTGGAAGCCAAGATAATTCAGGAGCTGAACCTACAATCTTCCGATCTGCAGAGGAGCGCCTAGCCGCTAGACCATGACAGCTCCACGCTGTGATTCATATTATAATTAGAACTGCACTTTAAATAGAGATTATTGTAAATTTGTTAGCGTAACAGCTGTTACATGTGTATTATAAATTCTCTGTTTTAACTTTAGTGTTCAGACTGATTGCAATATGCCTCATCATTCCTTAGGTGGTGTCTTTGGTGTTATAAGAGTCACAGTGAGAACAGTTGGAGGAGGTGAGAGCTGGACTGCTCAGATCGTGCCCAACCTAGGCAGTTCCACAAATGATACCATTGCTGATGTATTGGGTAAGAGAGAGAGCCAAGAGACAGCTACAGGAGGCCAGGACTATGATGTTCTCAACACAGTCATTGAATTTCAGGTTTGTCATCCACAGATTATATTTTTGGAACCTGTGATTAGCACATCAGTTTCTGCATTTAATTATACAGAATTGGCAGATTATTTGCCTCCAGTGCTGAACAATAAGGTTTAGCCATAGATTCTGATAATATATCTCTAGCTACAAAACTTAAGCGCACACACACTAATTAAAATGCAGTCCCTAAGATTGGTCTAGTTTTCCTTCATATTTTCAGTCTACACCTGATTCACCATCTGTGCAAGTGTCGCCTGCCTTTTTCTTGTGGCAGCCCACCCCAGAGTAAATTGCAAGATTCCCCCCCCCTACCCCTACCTGCCAGTATAACAAAATGTGGTTTAAAAGAGTCCACACACACACACACAGAAAAGAGAAAAATCACCAACATATAATAGTTTAATGTCCAGATATCAATGTTATGGTTAATCTTGTTTCGTCTTGATAATGTCTGCTATGTTTGGTCTCTTGTTGGACAAGGCACAATGAAGATCACTCTGTACATCATGCTGGCAGCTCTGCTTTGTGTGTGTGTGTGTTGTTTTTTTTTATACTTGAAGCTGAAAAAAATCTGGATTATTACAAGTACAAACCAATTCAGTTTTTAAATTACTTGACATCCCTTTGAACTTTGACTGACTGACTGACTTTCTACCCCACCAGGACATCACACAAGCGATAAACACCCGATGACACAATGTGCCACAGTGTGGGTGAGGATCACCGTTTAGAGGTCCCAGAAACCGCGTTCAGCCTTTAGGCTATATTTATGGCCAGACTATATTGCGGCCCCTGGCAAGAGCCAGAGTAGGGCTTCAAATAACAAAAAATTTAATCCTTAAAAGGACGAGAAGTAGATAAAATATAGCCCCTTGAACTTTTTTTAACATATCAAAATGAGTAATCTGCATGTTCTGAAAAAGGCAAAGACATAAATACTGCTTATCACAAACATCGAACAGTCATTTTTGTTTTTTGGGTAGGTTCATATTATGCGATGAGAAAAGCCACAACATGTTGCAACAGCTGGGAAAATAATGGAAAGAGGTACAGAGGAAGACAAAAATAGAGGATTTAAGGCAGTCTTTTATCACAGCATGGGAAAGTTTTGGTAATGAACTGATGCATACTTTAGAAGATTGCAAGATGTGGAGGAACGTGATTATCAGTAACAATTTATCGGCAATTGATGATGATGAGCACATTTGCAAGTTTTTTTTTTTTTTTTTTCAAGTTGTTGCACTAATCTCATAATTGATGAAACTATAGAACTATATATAAAAACTAGATGACTCTATGTTTTCTTCTTTTGCTCTTTATCTCCCATTCGAGCATAGGTCTTCTACCAGTTCACACCAAGTCTTCATATCCTTTTTTTTAAATCTTATGCAGCTCACTACATGTCCACCCCATCTTTTAACCTTCTTTTCTAGCTGTCTTCTCCCTGTGTTGTTTTTTGTATTTTGGTGCGGTTTTTTTCTTTCTATTCTGTATGGGTTTCAGTGCAAAAACATTCTAGTTATATTGTTCTTATGTTTTGTCAACATGTGTCTCATCCTGTTCTTCATGTCTTGACTCACTGGAATTTGCTTTGTTGTCTTCTTACGCTCCAAATTAGTGATTCTTTCATTCATTTTTATTCCCTCTATTCTATGCAGGCACCAGCGTGTGAAATAAAACGAAAACATAATATTCCTGTAATTGAAAATCTAAACTATGTTCCTCCTATAATAAGTTATAAGCAAAAGCTTCATTTTTTGCACTATGTTCTCTGGCTCTAGACATTTTAACTTGCCATTATTTTGTTTCATCCTTCCAAGGTACAAGAGACTGAGAAGATTGTCAATGTTACCATACTAGAAGACAACCTACCTGAGCCAGCAGAGAGTGTTTTAGTGTATCTTACTGAGCCCACTGGAGGGGCCCGTATTGCAAGAGGAGCTTCAGATGGTGGACAGAAGGTAGTATATAGTTTTAGTATCTTATTTTAACTAATAGTATATAATTAGTAATAGTGTATAATTTTAGTTATCTTGACAATCAGACGGTTACTGGTACCATCGGAATTGGAACTCTTCACTTACTGCTGAAGATGGGGATTGAGCACTTATGGGAGTGTCCCGAGTGCTGTGATGTTGATTCTTAATTTAAGATTCAACATTTAACATTCAGTTTTCTTAGGGGGATTTTAGTTTCTGTAAAATGTGTATATACATTAGACAATAATTTGATATGTTGTTTGTCTGCTGCTGTTATGACGCTGTCAAAGTGTGGATTTAAGGAGTGGTCAACACATGTTTGAAGTTAATCACACACAAAAATGTACATACTGATTGATGTCACTGAAATAAATGCGCTCACCTTTTGAGATATTTCTAGATTCTAATGCAACTAAAAACCGCAGGAACTTCAATTTTGCGGGCGGATGATCAAAATGGAGTGTCCCTACTGCGCAAGCACGGTGAAAGTCGTTCGTTCCAACTACTGCGCATGCGCATTTACGAACGTGGCTTTAATTAAATGTCACTAAAATTAAAATATTAGTTTTGAAAATTTTCTCAATAAATTCATCGCCTATCTCAAACAATGACATGTAGACTTTCAAACCATGACGGGTAAAAATCCGGTAACAAAACAAACATATCCTGAAAATTTCAGCTAAATCGGTTCAGTAGTTTCCGAGTCTATAGGTAATAAACAAACACACAAACATTGATTTTTATCGATATATATAAGACAAAACGAGAAGTTCAGTTTTTATTTAAGTGTAATAGACTGTGATAGATGCAACAACTTCCTTACTATCTCCAACCATTTCTTTTTTCTGTCAAATCTGTTTCTTCAGCTAAACTGAAACACTGTTACAAGTGAACGTAATGAAGGTGGTTGAATGTATATGTTTTTGGGGTTAGAACAAGCAGATACGACAAACATTTGACCAGTCTTTATCAACTAAAACAAAAAGAAGAAGAATTGTAAGCCTGTCTAAAGACTCTGATAAAGACTGATTGACACGTGTGGTTTTATCTCTGTGTTTTTTTTTTCTTTTTCACATTAATCATAGTTTATGTTTAGCAAAGTAATTTTTTTTAAATATTTACTGTTTGGGGTAGGGTGGGAGAGGGAAGTGGAGGTTGACCAACTGCTTGTTAAAAAGCGTGTCATGAAAGACAACTAAATAACCATTTGCAGAAACAGGATGTGTTAGGCCGAAAGTGACAGTTATGACACTCTAGCTGTAAACCACAACACAATATGCCAAGAACCCTATTAATGTTGAATGCAGAAGAAGAAGAAATTTTCTTCTCTAATGGCTTGACTGCAGTCACCCCTATTGTCACACTACCCCCCCCCCCCCCCCCCCCCCCCCCACCCCCTGCTAACTTTCTATTGATGACTTTATCTTCTTATGATCTAGACATCTTTAGCTTCAAAATAATTAACTTGTATGTACATTCATGGAATGATTTCAAACAGTGAACTTCTTTTATAAATTCTAAAGGGTTATTCAATAATCAGCATAGCAGCCAGTGATTTCAGCAATGGACTAATTGGGTTTGAGGAGTCATCAAAGAACATACATGTAAATGAAGATCTCTCTCCTAGGGCAGTCCTCAAGTTAATCAGGCTGAATGCATTCTATGGGGAAGTCAGGGTAAGATTACAATAAAGTGATGGCTTGGTATGAACTGGAGTATTTCATACATTACTGCAAAGACAATGATTTCTTCTTCTTCTTCTCCTCCTTCTCTTCTTCCTTCTCTTCCTCCTCCTCTTCCTGTTTTTCCTTTTCTTCTTCTTTCTCATTCACCTGCTATACATGCTGATGGAGTGAACAAATAAGTTTTCTCCGGGTGCAGGTCAAAATAGTGTGATCCATATTGGAGCAGCAACAGATTTTACATGCTGCTGGAAAGTCCTGGTACGTTGTCTACATGTAGACTTTGGTCTTGTTTCAGTACTTGAGTGTTACCTGCACATCTGTTTTATAGATCTGGCTTATTTGTTTGCAGACTGTTGGTTCCTCCCTTCTCAGGCAAATGCCAACTGACTTTGAAGAAAATTTGATCCTTTACACGTTGACAAGGCAACTGCTTGGGAATCTGTTTTGAGGATGAGGTGTAGATAGCTGTTGAAAAGTATGAGCTCTGGTCCTGGTTCACCACCATGTGTGGTTCAGCAACTTTGCATCCCAAAAGTCATCAATTTGAAAACTATATAATTGGGGATTAGTTACAACAATAAGGATTCTTAACTGTAAATATTTGTGTGTGTGTGTTTTTGTTGTTGTTGTGTCAACCGTTTATTTTATTGTTTCAAATGGTTTAAATATTACTGTATGTGTGGTAATGTTTCTGCTCAACTCTAGTTCTCTGATAGTGTTTATTATTTCCTGCGTTGCCTTTCTGTGGTATCATGGCTGTTCTACTTTTTCTATTTTTTGTTTTTTAACTTCGCTTGGTCTGTTCACATTGGTGATTGTTATTTTTGTTTTGTTTTTTGTTGTTCTGATTTTAATAACTTAGTGTAAATTAGTGTGTTATTTGTGTAATTGTTCATAACTGTAAGATAAACTATATATATATATATATATATATATATATATATATATATATATATATATATATATATATATATATATATATATATATATATATATATATATATATATATACACACACACACACACACACACATGCACGCACGCACACACACACACCTACACACACCTACACCCACACCTACACCCACACCTACACCCACACATACACCCACACCTACACCCACACCCACGCACACACGCACACACACACATATCTGTATATACACAGTCTGGCAGTGAATAACGAGACTTATTTTATTATCTCCAAGACAAAAAATGCCAAATACTGTGGGTTCAAATCTGCATGGTGCCAGATTTTTCATAAATGACCTTGGCTGGCAGGTCAGCCGAGCTTTAAATGGGTACCAGGTACTCCTGGGAAGGAAAGGCAGCCGGCAACCTTTTAAAGGCAAACAAAAAAGAAGAAGAAAAGCAACTTTGAGGAGATGAAGTGCAGAATTATACGTGGGAATAAATCAACAGAGGGAGTTGCCGTGGCCGAACGGCTAGACGCTCGTCGCGGATCGGAAGGTGTGGGTTTGCTCCCTGGCGGAGCCGGAATTTAAAAAAAAAATTACCTTGGCTCCCGGGTCGACCCAGCCTTGAGTGGGTACCTGGTGCAGTCCCGGGAAAGGAAAGGCGGCCGGCGTGATGCTGACCACATCACCCATCTTGTGCCGATTGGTCTATAAAAATATAGGTCTAGCCCTATATGCCTTATACACCTGATGGCGTGGAAAAGGGTCCTTTACTTTTTTTCACTTTTTAAAATCAACAGATGCATTTGAAATGAGAACAGGGGTGTACTTTTCATCACTTGCATTATCCAAGTCCCTCTATAATTTCAGGTTAACTGGAAGGCGAAGAAGGCCCTGACCAGCACTGATTTAGACGATGCAGATTTATCCAATCAGCTGAAGACCACAGCAGATTTCACACTGTGCCCTCCAAATAAGAGCCAGTGTGATCTCATTGTGGAGCTCATTGATGATGATGTATGTTTATTTAAACAAAATGAATACAGATTTGCACTGAAGATAGTTTGTAATTGGTAATAATTTATCATTATCTATCAGCAGTGGGCTTATCTTCACGTCATCCCCTTGTGGAATGTAATTTTTCATTATTTTGAAGGCCCACTCTGGCTGTTTGCGGGGGGCCCTAATATAACCTAATGGTTGAACGGGGTTTCTGGGATCCCTTTGTGGATGATCCTTATCCGCATGGTGGCACTATCTCTCACCAGGTGTTTATCGCTCAGTGTAATGTCCTAGTGCAGTAAAAAGTCAGTCATGTACAGAATGTCGCTCTCATCATGGTACACCTGAAAGTCTTTCTTTCTCTAGCCAGTTCTCCAGCCCTATGTGCTTTCATATCAAATGCATCTTCAGGGTCTTGTATCCACTTTCACGGAGGTCTTCCTCTGCATCATATTCCAGGAACTGTCTTACTGTCATATTTTTCTCCTCCTTCACCACCCTTCTGTCCAGGCCACCATGACATTTAACATGACCAAAATACCTCAGCTTTTGGGACAGGATGTTGTTTAGGAGCCAATTCTCCTTGATGTTCAGATCATGTAGGATGTCAGTTTGTGTTTTTTTCTTGGTCTGTGGTATTCTAAGAACATATTTGTAGCTGTTCAATTCAAAAGCTAAGATTTTCTAAACATCACTTTATAAAATAGTTATCTTGTTTATTAGAGAATGTTAAAGTTAGAGGTTAAAGTCGAGAGGATCGACTTCATTGCACCAGATTTTATCCCATATGATTCGGTTTCTTTCTGCAGAATGGCTGGCTGCCTGCCAAGAGTGCTGCACAGAGCACGAACTCTGCAGCTTCAGCAACAATCCCTAGGGATCTCCATTAAAATTGCACTTGTGAACTGAACGGTGCACATTTTGGCATTTACACTTTAATAATTAGTTTTACAATGCATAATTAACATGGATGTGTTTTGTATGGGCTAATAGATGCTGGTGTTTTACAATGTTACAGTAATATTTGGTTAGATATTAACTTTAATCTATATCAGGTACATCACCAAAAATTTAACCATGACTAAAATGGAAATTTATTTTTAAACTCACTCTGAAAAAATAGAACTACTAAAGCATCAGCTTTTTCAGCTCATTCTGAGTTGTTCATTCATAGACAGTGATAGTCATGTGTTCTAACTGAACTCACCAGATCCCTGAAGAGAGCTACTCATTTGTTGTGGTGTTGCTAAGTGCAGACACAGACGCACAGTTGAACCAGGACAGCCTCTCAGCAGTGGTGACTATAGATCCCAGTGATGATGTCAGGGGGTTGGTGCAGTTTGCCCAGAATTCAAGGTGAGTTTTAGTACATCTGAAATATTTGTTGTTATTTTTTCCTGGTCACTCCATGCAGTACCGTGATAATCTGTTTGTGTCCCCGTACTGTTCACTCGCTCCCATACAACACTCACTGAAATGTGTTTTGTTGTTTTAGGTTGCAAGGGATCCCTTTCAGTGTACACTGGTACCTTTATTAACTCTTTCTATACCAGTGAACTCAGTATACTTTGATTAGTTACTCTTTACTTAGTTTACGTTTCTTTATTGTACCTATCCCACTTTTGTGTTATAATAACCCTTTATGTTTTTCATTGCTACTATTATAACTTCTGTCCCAAAGTTGTATTTTTCAGTTCTGTGACACTAAAATAGCGTTGCTCTAAAATACGCAAAAGTAGAGCAAAGACACAGTTCGATTTAAAAACTCCCTGGGACTGAAAAGTGAAGTCTGAAGTTTTCTACTATAGATCACCCAAGGAAAATCTCAGCACAGTGCATGAATTCACTAGCACTGGCAGGGATCTAGATGTGTCTATGTTAGAATCATACACACTATATTTTTTTTTTTGGTAGTCTTCCTTGTTTGTATGCTCAGGCAGTGACCTTTTTCCTCTATGCGTGCTCTTAAAATTACAGTTGTCACTTTTTGTTGTGGTTATCCAATTTAAGCAAACAACCTATTTAGTCACTCTATATGACATGGTTATTGGCTGAAAAGGGGGAAGGGGGGGGGTCTATTCTTTAGAGCTCTGAATCCACACACACACAAAATGAAGTGGTTTGAATATCTAGTAAGAATGCAGCCAAGCCAAATTACATGAGACCTTCTAGCACAGTGGTTCTCAACCTGCGGGTGATATATTTTTATGATCTGCTCTTGCTGTTTGAGTTCTGGGCCCCATTTCCAAAGGGAAAAGAGGGAAGGGAGAATTCACTTCCAGCTTACAAGCATGTTGTAAAATGTTACTAACTGAAGCTTGTTAAAATTTGATGTTTTGGGCCAAAATGTGCAGATATCACAGTCAGGCTGGAAACCACACACAAAAACTATGTGAACCACTCTTCTAAGGACAAACAGAAAAAGAAGATGTTGGTCTACCATGCCAAGATCTCTCTTAAATGTGCAAACATTAATATTTTTTCATACAAATTTTTTCTTTTTCTAAAAGAAGAAGCAAAAATATTGTTTGTTTTCCTTACCTGCCATTCATTGTCAAATAGAGCATATCACCCCAGACAGCTTGAGTCAAGTTTCCCTCTTCTTTCCAGTCAGTTCCCAAAAATTGTCTGCTACCAGTTTTTATGAGACTGCTGGTAGAGATTGAACCAGGACACTGTCTTGGCTAGCTGGGATATCACAGTCTAGTTGTAAACCACAACACAATGTTCAGACTGCAAGCAGGTGCATTGACCACTACTATATCAGTGCAACACTGTCTGTTTTACATCCTGACAAAAATGGGATTGAAACAAAATGTTCATATTATTCTTTAATACCTCCGATCAAATTTACCGATCACATTATAAATGAATAAAAATTACCTCATATTTTTTAATCACAGTTAAATATTATTATTGATCAAAATAAAGCATGTTTTAGTTTGTTTAATTCCCAGTGTGAGACCTGGAGCCCCTTTTGGGTGTTGAAGGGAGAATAGACCAACTGCCCTTTAACAAGCAAGTCATAAAGGGCAACTAATTATTAATGAATTTTGATGTCTTGGGCCAAAAGGCGTAGATATCACAGTCTAGGTGTCAACCATAACATGAAGTTTTGCCCACTCTTTTAAGTTACAAATAAAAAGGAAGCTAGTCTGAGGAGAGAAAGCTCCTTCTGTTATGATTCATTAAAATGTTTATTCACCATGCATTCTTCATAGCACAGAAGTATCGCTAGCTTTGATATGTTTAAATAGTTTCACCTCCACCTAATTTATTAACTTATTATCTCAACATAATTTGTGAATTTTTCACCTTAGTTTTTTTATTTTACTAAATATATACATAGAGTCGGCTCTGCGGCTAAGTCGATGCGAGCGCTTCGTAATGCCGGGATGCCGGGTTTGATCCCAGCTGCGGGCCATGTGCCTTGCATTGGTTTTGACAGTGGCGTCAAGAAAGCCGACCGTCCGGAAGCAATGGCAAACTACTGGACGTAAATTTGCCTAGAAAAACCACACAACAGCCAGTGGCTGTTGGGGTTGGTTCTGCAACGTCCTGTAAAGTATACACAAATAACCTTATATAGATGGAACTTGCCATGATGCAGCCTAGTGGATCTATCATGTTATAACTTTGTCTTCTGCCATTTCTTTCCCAATGGAGCATAAGATCTCAGCCAGCTAGCACCAAGCTTATTATCTGTTTAATATCTCATACAGCTCATTTCATTTCTTTCCCAAATTATGCATCCCCGTCTCTGAAATTCTTGTTCATATAATTGGTCGGTGGGATTAAAAATATTTCAGGATATTAATTGCTGGAGAGAATGAGCAAGCAGTTCAGCTTGGAGTGGAAAGGGTCAAAGGTCAGAAGTATGACGTGACAGTAGCTTTCAACACTCAGCAGATGACAAGTAGTCAGAAAGTGTCTGGAGTCACGGTCTATCCTGCCCTGGAAACACAGGACTTCAAAGGTCACTCGGGCACCTTGATGTTTGCGGCAAACTCACAGGTGAGGCATTGTTGATTTTTTTACACTGAAGTTTAAATGCAAAATTTGTTTTCATTCTTTTTTACAGATCAGAGAAATACAATGACCAGTGTGGCTAAATAACCCATATCATCAAATATAAATGCTCAAGAAGAGAACTGCCCACATCAGAAGGAGACAATCTACATTCTTTAGTCATGTCATAAGAAGGAAAAAAACTGGAGTACATCCTGACGGTAGGAAAGTTGGAGTGAAAAAGAAACAGAGGGAGGCTGAGATAGAAGATGCTTGCAAATTTGACATCATGGCATGGAAGATTAATTATGTCAAAATTAATTGGTAGTAAACAAGACAGAAGGCGCTATGGATAGACATGACTACCAACGCCACACGGCATGACTATAAGAAAAAAGAATAAGTAATGGTCATCACATTTCTGGCAGAAAAACAGAGTAATTTAACTACATTTTGTCGAAATAAGTAAATATGCAGTTAGTTACCAAATATTTCTTTCAAAATAGTTCCCTTTGGCAATTACACACTTTTGCCAATTTTCATACAGTTGTTGGAAACATTCCAGGAACTCATTTTTTGATACTTTTTTCCACTGCTTTGTCATATTGACAATAACATTATCAGCATCCTTGAAGTGCTGTCCTTTCAATTCCATTTTTAGGCGAGGTAACAAGAAAAAATCATCCTGTGCTAGCTCGATAGAAAACTGTCAACTTCCAGCTAATTTTCCAACTTTTCAGTCTATTTTCTTGAGTCTCCTGTCAGCACAAACAATATTCAGAATACATTCAGTGTTTTCATTATCACAGTAGGTGGCACCCACTCTGTTTATTGTGATCAACACTAACAAGACCTTTTCTGAAATGCTTGTGCCTCTTACAAACTTGGGATTTCTTCATTGGGGAATCAACATATGCTTTAATAGGCATACTTACCATCTAGGAGGCTGACTTCTGAAGCAAAAAACACACACGCACAAATTGGCATTTGTGCATTGCTCAGTCAAGGACATTTTCAACTCTGACAATGCTGTTTGCACAAGAACCAAACTTCTGTTACTTCTGTTGGAGAATACATGTGGAGGTCATATCTGCCATGTTGTTTTGACAGTGTCACTATTAACTTATTAAACTAAAATCTCCATGTAATAATTAAGTAATTCAAACATGAGTGGACTTTTCAGGGAACTTTTTGAAGCAGCCATGTATAATTATGCTAATTTACAAAATGCTTGATAAACAGTGATCCTATACACCCGTGACTTCCCCCTTGTGAGTTCCAGGGCCCCATTTTGGGGAAGATGAGAATAGACTCACTGCCTCCCCAACATGCATGTCATAAGAGTTGACTATTTGGGGGCTTTCAACAGGCAAAGAATCAACACTGTAAAATGGATGTGCACATCTGAAGAAGACACATGTGACAGACCAATGCTAGGTGTAATAAAGCCCTGCTGGGTTTTCCTAGAGTCTAGTGGCTTGCGTTCTGAAATACAAATTATATATTTATAGATATAACTATGTTATTTATTAAAATTTTATCCTAAATAATTTGTCATTCCCATGTGGGGTGCAGTTTTTCATTATTTTTAAGCCCCTCCCTGGCTGTTGCCGGGGGCCCTAATATAACCTAACGGTTAAACGGGGTTTCCAGACCTCTCCACTGGTGATCCTCATCTGAATGGTGGCAATTTGTGTCACCAGGTGGTTATTGCTGTGTGATATCCTGGTGGGGTAAAACTTACTTACCTAATGACCAATCTCCATTGCTTTATTTTAGGAACTGAAATATATTGATATCAACTTAACTCCAGTGCTAGCATCAAATAATCCGCTCCCCAAGCAGTTCTACATAAAGTTGTCTTCACCAACAAATGGTGCCAGGTAAGAGCTATGTTTCTTCTAAGCATCAGAAGGTAATTAGATCATCATTGACTTTCTCTGCTTTGAATGTCTTTCTCCAGCCAACAACTATATTGCTGTCAGGGTCTTACTGTCATATGTTGTCCCTTCCTTTCCTCTTGGTGTTTATTTAGTAACTGTGGAATATGTATTGGAACTAAGAAAAATAACAGACTGAAATGGTTTGCCCACCTAATGAGAATGAATCCAACAAAGATTTTTTACATCTTGTCATTGTGTCATAAAATAAAATCTGCATAAGAAATGAATTTGTTTTTCTTGTTTGTGTGGGAAATTTTCTAGATGGTAGAGAAATCTAGAGAGAATATTTAGGCTCTATAATAAACAGCAATGGAGACTGTTTGACAAATTAAAAGGAGGATGGCCATAGCAATGCAAAGATTGAACAGCCTTAAAAGTCTATGGTTAAGCACCAACAAGGAGATCAAAATAAGAATTTTGAGAGCATGCATCTTCCCTGTGGCTACATACGGATGTGAGCCGTGGACTATCTTTCAGTCCTTTAGAAAGAGAATCGGGGCTTTTGAGCTGAAATGCTATAGAAAGATTCTCAGAATATCTTGGACAAAGAAGAGGAGAAATATTGACATCTTAAAAGATCTGAACATCAAGGAAGATTGGCTAATAAACAGCATCCTGATTGGCTAATAAACAGCAACCTTTCTCAGAAGCTGAAATATTTTGGTCATATCAAACACCACGCTTGATTAGAAAAAATTATAGCAGAAGGCATGGTACCAGGAAGGAGAGGCAGGGGCCGACCGACACGAAGATGGGCACAGGATATAAGTGACTCCTTGAGTATGAAAGTACATGAGGCGGGAGAACTGGTGAGAGACCAAGTTTCTTTCAGGCAGACTGTGATGAGAGCGACGTTCTGCAAAGGACCTGTTACATGATGAGGATGAGAGAAATCTTAAACATGTAGCAAGTGTCTAGAGTGTCTCTGATATCCTGTGTCCACCTTTGTGCAGGTTCATCCATGTCTCTTTCTCCCGGAAGCCATTCATTCTAAGCAACTGTGTGACATTTAATATTGTCAGAGTGTTTCAGTCTGCGGGACATGATGTTGTTGACAAATGAGTTTTCTTCAGTATTCAGATCTTGGAGAAGAGAATAGATAACATCTTCCAGAGTATGTGGCAACCCAAACACCTATCATGTTATGACAGTTGCAGAATACTGTTTTCTTAACATCCAATACAGTTTTTTTTTTGTTTAAACTGACCAAGAAACTGCTTTATCAGAGATGGTCACATTTGGGACCAATTCCTTGAGAGTTTCTTGATTTAAAAAATAAAGCATGCAAAGTATGTGGGTTTTTGTGTGTGTGTGTGTCTTATGAGAAGAAATGGACTCAAGAATTTAGCTACAAATGGCAAGATTGAGAAAAAAGAAAGAAAGCGAAAGGCAAAGAAATAAATACTTAGGTGGCTTGGCAATATGGATGGGCAAGACAAGAGCACTGACCTGATCTGTGATCTGCTGATCATGGAAGTTGGTGAAACTTGACTGCATACGCTTATCGGCATTAACAATTATAATAATGATGTATGTTAGTTTTCATAGTATTTAAAATGTATCAGTAAAAGACAAGCCCACATTTTTTTTCTTAACAGAGTGGACACACAAGCTGGTATTGCTACAGTTCGAATTGTGAAAGAAGAAGATATTCCCATCTGGACTGTGGCCGCTGCATCACGGAATGAATCATTTGCTGATAATAATCCCATTATGTAAGTGTTGGTGTTTTGTCTTTTGCTTGAATGTAAACGGTGTGTGACTTTTTGTCTTTTGGTGTCTTGCTTGTGTGGCTGTTTGTGATGCAAAATGAGAACATCACTGTCTGAAATAGCTTCATAGCAACTGTGTATGTGTAGTGAGAACTGCATATAACAACTACATATTGCAGTGTAATTACATATAACCATTACTTATTTGCAGTGAGAACTACATATAACAACTACACATGTGCAGTGAGAATTACATATAACAACCACACATGTGCAGTGAGAACTGTGTATAACAACTAAACATGTGCAATGAGAACAATTTATAAAAACTACACATGTGCAGTGAGAACTACATATAACAACTACACATGTGCAGTGAGAACTATATATAACAACTACATCTGTGCAGTTTTCTTCTTTTTACTGTAGCATTAGCCCTTAGAAGTGTGGTAGGCTCTTTTGTTTTCCATTTGTTTGTTTTGTTTGTCCTTGAACATGTTTTTTAATATGACAACAAATTGAGAAGGACTATTATAACAAACTGTTTTTTGCCATGTGTAGCGACTAGATGCTTGCCTGGAGAACCAAAGTTCAAATGTCAAATCAGATTTTTTACATAAATATTACCAATAAACTTGGCTCTTAGATCAGCCCCGCCTAAAATGGGTGCCAGGTAAAGTCCTGGGAAGTAACGGTGGCTGGTGTGATTTTGACCACATCACTCACTGAGTGCCGATTGGTCTATAAAATGTAAATCTAGCCCTGTATACCCAGTACACCTAAGACCATGAAAAAGGGCCCTTTCCTTAACTTGGCTTTGTTTTGTATCACATGCAACCTGTAAAAGAATGAGGAAATACTGCCATCTAGTCATTGTTTTTCCTGTGCAGCATCAGTTCCATTCGATGCTGTACAGATGGACTAAGCTGGAGGATAGTGACAAGTCTTTGATGATAACCCAGCTAAATGGCTTGAAAGTAAAACATGTCTTTTAGATCAGGAGAAGAGAGCCAACCAGTTTCTTGTGGGAACAGTGAACAGAAGTACTTCTAGACGGATGAAGTATCAGAGGACAGAACACACATTGGGCTTTCCAACATGCAGTGACATTGATTATGATAATGTATCATAATACAAAGTCTTGTTTTGACTATTTCTGATGTTGGGATATCCAACAAGTACTGACATTGATTATGATAATGTAAAAGTAAGTAAAGATCTATTTTCACGCCTTTCAGCGCATCGGGCATATGGGCAGAGCGTCCCATATTTTTTACAGACCAATCGGCGCTCGGTGGGTAATGTGGTCAGTATTGCGCCGGCCGTCTTTACTTCCCCAGGACGGCCATCCGGGTACCCATTTGAGGCTGGGTCGACCTGCGACGTCCCATACCACGATAAAAATCCACACAGCCCGTAGTGGGTTTCGATCGCGGTACGTTGGATTACGAGTCGGACTAGCATAACACAAAGTCCTTTTGACCATTTCTTATGATGGGATATCTAACATGCAGTGACATTGATTATGTTAATGTAGCATAACAAAGTCTTTTTGACCAATTCTGATGGGATATCTAACTTGCAGTGACATTGATTGTGATAATGTAGCCAAACAAAATCTTTTTGACCATTTCTTATGTTGGGATATCCAACATGCAGTTACATAGATTATGATAATGTAGCATAGCACAGTCTTTTTGACCATTTTGATGATTCACTAGTTTTCTTTCATTTGTACTATCTGTTATTTTCTGCAGGCTTCATCCAAACATTGTGACAGTTTTTATTACTGCTCTTTAGTCTCGAAATTGTGAGTCTTTCTTTTGGCAATATCTGCTTTGTGCAGCTAGGTGTCATTATAACAGATGATTGGTAATTGAGCCAGGTTGCACTTGGTTTATTTGTTGCTAGGTAAGCTGTGATGTTATAAAATCTTGGGTTGTCAGTGACTCCTTTAAACAATCTTTTTCCTCTAGGTTTCCCTCTGCCCTCTACGTCTTGATGTTGTTGTTTAAAAACAAATTTTTTTTTTGGGGGGGGGGGGGGGGGGGGTTGTTTTGAGCGCTCTGACTGTCATCATCCTTGAGTTCATTCTTATTTAGTCGCCAAACCATTTCAGATTTCCCAGTGAATTTAGAAATGGGTATTGTTCTAATAATTAATTGTTTTCACAATGAGTATTGTTGTAGATTTGATTTGATTTTGATTTCATTTGATTCAAGAACCGACATCACAGCACTCAGGGCATTCCCATAAGCAATTATTGTTCTAGTAGTTTTTCTAATGCTTAGCATAGCATAAACCAAAACTGAGCATTGTGATTGTTGTTTTCTGTTTGTTTGTAGTGCTGTGGTCAGTCAGCTTGCAAAGTTTGCTGAAAATTCTCTATCTAATGATGGTCTGAGCATCACTGAAGACATTCTGGATAAAGTTACCAGTCAAGGAAGCAAACGGAAGTGGGTTTTACATTATATTGTTGAAATGTATCAAGTCTTTGTGTTCTTAAATGTCTTAAAAATACTGAATTTACATGAGTGTTTTTGTAATATATTAGCCATTGTTTCAATACTTTTTCTTGCATTTTTGACAATTGAAGTGCAAGTAGACCAACTTCAGTGTGCCAGATTTATCGTATGTCTTGATCTATCTCTGCAGCATGGCTGGTCATTCTGCACGAGAGCTGCAGAAAGTATGAACTCTGTAACTCCAGCAGTGACCCCTACAGATTTATCGTATGTCTTGATCTATCTCTGTAGCATGGCTGGTCATTCTGCACGAGAGCTGCAGAAAGTATGAACTCTGTAACTCCAGTAGTGACCCCTACAGATTTTCGAAACATCTGCTGTTATGAACAAAAAGTTCATCATCAGTCATAATCAATTTCCACTTCCGCCTTTAAGATCATGGGCTGAACATTTTGTGATCCATTGCTTGATGGGTAACAATGGCTATTATCATTCCCTGTCAATGTGGAAGGTCTTTAATGTCATCAATCCCTCTACTCCGGTGCGTTCAGTGTGTACCTGGGTCTTCTCAACTCTAACAGAATGGTTCTTTTTCTTTAATTTTCTCCATAATTTGTCAGTAGTTGCAGTTAAATAAATAAATTCCCTACCGGTTTGCTGGACCTGTCATAGGATCATCTTTATGTGAACTGACTGATGTTGAAGGAATGAATCCAGAATTGACATCACTGCACTCAGAACGTTCTCTCACATGCTCCATCTCCTTCTTCAGTAGCCAACAGAATGTCAACATGCTAATAGTACCAGTTCAAATCTGATTAAAATTCTGCCTATTCCCCACCCCCTTTCTAGTGTTGAATATATGTCAGAACTTCTACTCACCCACATTGAATTAGTCTCTGTCTGGTCTGATGCACTCTCCGTTTGATCCAAGTGAGCCTTCACCATGTCCGCTTTATTGTGAAGTAGCTTACCACCCAGAGGGGCTGATGTTAAAACCACACACAAAGAAGGGATGAGAGAACAGAGGAAAACCAACAAAAAGCAAGAAAATTACCAAGATATAATAAATAAACTCATTAGTCTTCAAGAACTTAAATGCGCATTAAGAAACTTTAAGAAAAGGATGGCACCTGGAACTGGTCAAATAACAAATGAAATCATTACACTTACGACCAGCTGGTAGGCAACAATTCTTAGACCATATCAACCAATCATGGATCCAGGGACTGCTTCCTAAGGAATGGAAGGAGGCAGAAATAGTCACCATAGCCAAGAAAGGAAAGCCCATGGAAAACAAATTCAGTTACCGCCCCATAAACCTCCTAAGATGTCTTGGAAAGACCATGGACAAATTAGTAAACAATAGGTTACCTAATTTCCTGGACAAAAACAAGATATTGGATGACAGCAAATCAGTCCAGGAAATAAAGAAGCACTGATGACCAAACTTCTTATCTCACACAGGAAATTGAAGATGCTTTCCAGAAGAAGAAAAAAAACAAATTGCTAACTAATTTCTTTGACCTGACCAAAGCCTTTGATTGGGTCTGGGATATATGTGGAATAAAAGGGCATTTGTTTGCCAGGATTAGAGACTTTTTTTTTACAGACGCTGCATGAGAGTCAGACTGGAAGAAAACAAGAACAAGCTGGTCAGGTTACAAGAAGGTGTCCCCTAGGGAGATTTTGTATCTTCTACTCCGTTCATTATTTTTATCGTTAACCTCTCAAAAAGGTTCCCAGCTCACTTTCACAAGGCCCTACAAGCAGATGACCTGGCCATATGGACCCAAGCTGAACATACAGGAACAACTAAAACAGGAATGCTATAAATACAGTTAAGAAATGGGCAGACTCTTGGGGAGTTTTAATAAACTAGACCAAAACCATCTCAACTCTCTTCTCTCTTTCCACAAAGCTAGAACAAGTTGGTCTGCACCTAGTAGGCAACATCCTTCCAAAAGAGGATAACCCCACATATTTGGGAGTAAAATTCCATAAAAGGCTAGCCTGGGGCCTCCACATTAAAGACACTCGAAGGAAAGCTACCCTGCAGCTCAGATTTATGAAGAAACTTACTGGAACAAGCTGGGGTGGAGATACCAACACTGTACGACGAGTATACACAGGATATGTAAGACCAAAACTGGAGTAGGGCATTGGTGCATACTCCACTGCAGCCAAATCAAACCTACACAGACTGGACAAAATACAGAACACTGGTCTCAGAATCATCACTGGAGGTATGAGAAACATACTAATCATTTAGCTGAAGGCAACGTCTGGCCTCCAGAGCTTGAGCCTTCGAAGGGAAGAAAAGGTGCTTACCCTAACAGAAAAATTTAAACGCATGAACAACCCCATGCTCAGAACAGCAAACAAGTAAATACTGACTGAAAAGACTAAGCTTTCACCATCTATCAAGATTGAACTATGCACACACAAAAAAACTGACATTCTTTCTAAAGATCCTTTAACGTGGGAAATGATCCAGGCATACAGCATAGACCTACATCCTGACTATACAGTCTCAATAGCATAGTCAGAAAGGCTAAAGAATGTGCCATAGTATGCAAAAACCCTTGTACGTGTCTACAGCTCCTACCCAAAACCCGAATGGCCACACAAATACACCGATGGGTGCAGACAAAAATGGAGGAGCTGGATCGGTCATCATGCTACAGAATGGGATCACAGTAGAAATGTCATGCATTTCCAGAAGACTCAATAAACTTCAGAGCAGAGCAGCAATCAGCTGTTGATGCAATCAAAGTGCCTGAGGAAATAAAATATTTAAAAACAGCAAAATTGTCAGTCCTGCAGGTGACTCAGAGAGATCTATGAGACAACACAGAGAGAGAACTGGCCCATCAGCTAAACAGACTCTCAGAAAATAATCAAATCATTCCCGGCTCACTGCAGCATACCAGGAAATGAGTTAGCAGAAGAGCAAAAAATGGAACAAAGGAGAAACAACACACTCATTCATTTTCACTACCAGAAATCAGAACATTCATCAAGGGAAAATTAAAGGAATTGTGGAGAAAACAGAAACAACACACCCATTCATTTTTAGTACCAGAAATCAAAACATTCATCAAGGGAAAATAAAAGGAATTGTGGGGAAAACAAACTAACAGTAAATATCCACAAGACCCCATCAGCAGACTCAGCAGAAAGCAACCTTTAAAAATTTTCCGTCTACGAACAGGACACTGCAAGCTCAACTACCATATGCATAAAATAAAGATTGTACAGTCCCCACAATGTGCCTATCAGCCAGGACCACAAACACATGAGCACCTGCCCACTCTACTTACATACTCGAAAGGACACCTGACCTCAAGAGCAAAGTGTGCAGAGCAAGCTATGGGGAACCGTGAAGGATCCGCTGCTGACATGCAAGTTCATGGAAGTAGCCCACCTAATGGTCTGATCTGAGCATATGAAACCGAATGCAAGGAAGAAGAAGAAGAAAACCACACACTAAAACACATTTTAAAACTCCAGAGAAATCAGCAGTGTTTATCATCTCGGTAACCAGTATTGTTATTTTTTTTTAATACTAAGAGTTCAGAATCAAACTCACAACCTTCAAATCATGACACAAACAGTATAACAAAAAAGAAATTGTCCATTACCTTACCCAGAATTTCAACCCTTGTCCCCCTAACAAAAGCCACATCTTAACCACTCTGCTAACAGTCACTCCTTGTGAGGTGAAAGGCAGAAGAAAGAAATAGGAGGAGGTAGAGAAGGAAGCAGATGATGGAGAAGAAAAGATATGCTTCATTTTAATAATTTTTCTCAGATTTGTAATGTATGTTTTAATATAAATGATTTCACTTAGGTTTCCAACAGAAGTAGTGACACCTATCAGGAACCTGTTCTGTAAACTGCTGGATGAAGCAATCAGTGATGCCAGGAGAGGACGTACTTCGCTAGTTGAGAAGCTGGAGGAGTTTGCAGATACTTTGGTCACTAATGCCACATGTCCACCTGTTGCTAATTTTGATATGTAAGACCCGTAATTGAATAGGACCTTCATGTTTTCTGTGTTGCATAACTCTTTCTGTGGCTTAGAGTTTAGTGAAATTGATTCACAATGCAATTCATTACATTTACCAGGGTTTGATTCCACAGGGGACTTGGGGGGTGGGTTTCAGACAGTGGTACTAGAGTCACACCAGGAAAGCAACTGGGGCAGCACCACGTAATATTCCCATAGTTGTCATTAGATATTGCAGTCAGTCACCATTGTGGAGATGGCACAGTTGGTTTTTATTAACCCTCTCAGTCCCATTCAAGTTTACTTATTAAGAATTTCCACCCTAAACCTTTGTATTTTAGAGTAGTGAAAACAGGGGTGACTGCAGTCAAGCTAATACAGTACTAAGAAATTATTCCTGTGAACTCTGGCTAAAAAGCTTAATGAAATGGGGAAGCAGAATAACACATTTTAGAGTAGCAGTTCTTAAGTCTTGGCAAGGGCAAAAAGGATGCCTCATCAAAATAAAAATTTTAGCTGCAAATTCCAACCATTCATGAAGAAGCCTGTAGCAAAGGTGTCACTTTCATGTCCCAGATTTAAACATGTCCTAAACAACACAAGGCTGATTAGATGGTCGAATAAGGCTTCTTAGTTATTATCATGTCTACATTTTAACACACCATGCATAGCAATTCTGACAAGTGAATAATAAATATTAAACTGTTTATTGTAGAAATCAGTATCAGTTCAAACATTGATAATTTCAATACATATGAAAATTGATGCTGAGTCAACATCTCTACACACACACAAAAACACACACAACTAAACTTGCACTTCTCAACAACTAGTTATAAGGTCAATTCTATTATGAGGTCCTCTCTATAATCACTTCCTGTTGCGAACCTTAGTCTTCTTATCTTCTAGTATTTCCATAGTTTGCTCAGTGTTCCACTTTTGGCACTGAAAATCAGTGATAATGCCTCTCACTTCATTTAAAAAATATAGTCATCATATAATGTAGTGCCAGCACCTGCCTGAAAGGCACAGAACTAACAGTCTGCAAGCAGATAAGTCAGGTCTGTACAACGAATATACATGCAGAACTCCAGTCCTGAAATAAAACCACATCGGTAAACCCAAAGAAAAAGAAGCAAGTCCCTAATTAGTCATCATATTTTATAATATGCTTGATAGAGGGCAGTGGGTCTGTTCTCTCCCCCCCCCCCCCCCCCCCCCTCAGCCTTAAATGGAGCCCTAGAACCCCCCTGGGGATAATGCAAATTTGAATCCAATGATTTGAAGCCGGCAAACAATCTTGTATTAAGTGCACTACCAAGACTCCTTAAGGTGATAAAGCAGTTACTTTTGCTCTTAGTGAAACAATACATGTAGGGATGTTAGGGAGACAATAGATGTAGTACTTTTATTATTTTTTTTTTTGTGGCTTAGAGTTTAGTGAAATTGATTCACAATGCAATTCATTACATTTACCAGGGTTTGATTCCACAGGGGACTTGGGGGGTGGGTTTCAGACAGTGGTACTAGAGTCACACCAGGAAAGCAACTGGGGCAGCACCACGTAATATTCCCATAGTTGTCATTAGATATTGCAGTCAGTCACCATTGTGGAGATGGCACAGTTGGTTTTTATTAACCCTCTCAGTCCCATTCAAGTTTACTTATTAAGAATTTCCACCCTAAACCTTTGTATTTTAGAGTAGTGAAAACAGGGGTGACTGCAGTCAAGCTAATACAGTACTAAGAAATTATTCCTGTGAACTCTGGCTAAAAAGCTTAATGAAATGGGGAAGCAGAATAACACATTTTAGAGTAGCAGTTCTTAAGTCTTGGCAAGGGCAAAAAGGATGCCTCATCAAAATAAAAATTTTAGCTGCAAATTCCAACCATTCATGAAGAAGCCTGTAGCAAAGGTGTCACTTTCATGTCCCAGATTTAAACATGTCCTAAACAACACAAGGCTGATTAGATGGTCGAATAAGGCTTCTTAGTTATTATCATGTCTACATTTTAACACACCATGCATAGCAATTCTGACAAGTGAATAATAAATATTAAACTGTTTATTGTAGAAATCAGTATCAGTTCAAACATTGATAATTTCAATACATATGAAAATTGATGCTGAGTCAACATCTCTACACACACACAAAAACACACACAACTAAACTTGCACTTCTCAACAACTAGTTATAAGGTCAATTCTATTATGAGGTCCTCTCTATAATCACTTCCTGTTGCGTTCTTATCTTCTAGTTTGAGTTTGCAGTTCCACTTTTGTCTTCTAATGAAGTTTACTCTTTCTGTATGCCTAGAATATAATGCAATGCTTAGTGAGTGTTTCAGTTTACATCTGCTCCATCTGAGCTTTCTGTCTCATCTGTCTTTGATCTGTGGTTCTCTAAAACTATCCCCTCCTGAAATCATTTGTCTCCTTAATTGGCTGCACCTTAGTCTTAGTTGAGGTTTCAAATTCACTGCAGTTGGGTTTCCCCATACTTGCTCTGTTCCAGTGGCACTGAAAATCAAATGAAATGCCTCTCACTGTCCCATTTAAAAAACTCATCGTCATCATCATCATGTAGCAGGTCCTTTGCAGAATGTCGCTCTCATTACAGTCTGTCTGAATGAAACTTGGTCTCTCGCCAGTTCTCCCGTCTCATGCACTTTCACACTCAAGGAGTCACTTATATCCTGTGCCCCTCCTTCCCTATCTATATTTTTTTCCAATCGTGTGGCCTAATGAGGCTCTCTGATCACAATTATCGCTTTTCATTTTGTTTGCTATATTGTGAAGCTATTATATTGTGAAGCTGTTCTATTGTGAAGCTGTTATATTCTGAAGCTGTTATATTGTGAAGCTGTTACATTGTGAAGCTGTTATACTGTCATTTGGTTTGATATTTTTTTCATGATTTCTCTTCAGAGTCAGCACACAGTGTGCTAATGTCAAGATATCAGCAGGCAGATGGACCCCAAATAACATAGTAGGGCATACCTTTGACGTTCAGTGAGTATCAGTTATCTTTAACGAACAGTCAAATAGCAACATTTCTTAACTATCAGGATCAAAATTACCAGTCTGTCCTAAAAAAGCAGAAGTATTTTTGGCCATGGCAAATGTCATGGTGACCTGGATAGGACGGTGACAGAAGGTACAGTTTCCAGAAAACATGGCAGAGGCAAACCTCAGTAAGTGGATACAAAATATTGAAGATGCAAGTAGGGCTGGAGCATTGGCTAGATAGAGAAAGTGAGACTTTCAGGAGTGAAATGATAAGAACAACATTCAGTAAAGGACATGCTGAATAATGGTTGTATCTCACTGAAAAATAGTTATGTCCATTAGTTATTTTTCTCCTACTGATTTTTCTTTTTTCTCTCTAGTCCGTGTTTTGCCTTTCAGAGTTGGGTTATTGATTGTGCTAGTGGTGGCAGACAGGACCTATAATTCAGTCAAAAGCAATTGAGATTGTCAAAAATGTAGACTGGTTGGCTGTGCTGGTTCTAAAAGAAAAACTACATTTCAACATTTGGGGAAACAAAGAAAGGTTTATGAATATTGAACAAACAACTGGTTTCATGATTTTTACAGAGTAAAAGAAAACGATGCTTCATGTGATGTGCACAAAACTGGTTTTGGGGCTCTAGTACAAGGTTCGCATCGTGACAGAGTATAGGGCCTCACCATATAATATTCCCAAAGATAACAGTGGCACACTGTAGCCAACCTTTAGTGTGAAGTTGGCACCTAGATTTTTATAAGACAAACATTGAAGTTTGTGTTACATGAAGAATTTGTGTTGACAAGGGTTTACTGTAGATTCCATAATTATCAATTTCCTAATGTTATAAATGAATGTATGTATTTTATCTCAACAGAAAAATTTAATGAGTCTGCTGCAATTTTGTACTGACTAATTTATGTAGTGACATAATAGACTAAATTCTGCATGCAAATTAAACATAAATCAATCTTACTATAATTTTTTTTAATAGTTAACCCAGGTTTCGGTAATAATGAAATAACTCCAGGCACAAAAATACATTTCAAAACAATATTTTCCTCTGCTTTTTCTTCTTTTGTTGGCTTGAAATATGTTATCTATATCTGCAGTGTCAGTGACATAGGAAGCAGACAATATAATGCACAGTTTATTGCTTAGCTGTCTTTCACTCTTGAATCACTTATTATCATAGTTTAAACAGGCATTAGAAACCTAAAAGTGGAGAGTATTAATGAAGTCATTCTATGAAAATTGTAATCACTGTTCAGTCTTGTAGATAAACCATATTTTTCATACTGTACATTTGTTTTTATTACAGATTAAAGGACAGCCTGACGTTGCCAGAATCTCTGCCAGAGATGGGGACATCTATTGATGGTACAGATGATCAGGTGAGGCATCAGTAGTTTCATCTATCTATGTTACTGTTATAGAATTGAATAGGTAAAGGTTTCATCTCCAGCTGCATTATTGCTTTGGTAACTGCCATGACCTCTATAGTCAGACTACTTGTAGTCAAGGCGAAAGCACTAGATTCTTGCTTCACAATGCTAACTCCAACCTGAGCTGTAAAAGCCCATTAGTTTCTCCTGTGGCCAACCACAGACCCACCTGTGTAAATAACAGCGTCCCCCTCTACAGAATTCTCAAAAATTAAGGCCTGAACTTCTGCCTTCACAGTGGCTAGACTATGTGACACAATGAGTATGCTCAAGAAAATAGAAATGGTCTGGGTCCGAAGACAGTGTGTGGAGTGTCTGACGTGGTCGGAGCTAACATATATGAGTTTGATATTTGTGCCAGGGCACACAGGAGTGTAAGGAAATGAGCAAGCTGATAGAAGTTACCATAGCCGGCGGACTTGCAAAGGATCATGAACATTGACTGAATGCTCTATGGGAAGTTAGACCTTTGCAAAAACCAAGTGATGACTGGGAATGTGCAACAGTAACCAGACAGCAAGAACAGCCTGTTAAAAGGGGTGTGGCTAGACAAGAACACTATGCAGGAAGTCAAAGAATAATAGGAAACCAACACAGGACTGGTGCTGTCAGCCGTGATTTACTGAAGTGGTGATCTGAAAACTTATGGTCTGAATGGTTTTATGTGCACTTATTATAATCTGTCGACTAACATAGAATTTAGCTGCTTTACTCGGTCAGTAGCAAGCAATTCATCATATGTTTATTGATTATAACTGACATGGAATACTTTTATGAACTCCTTGAAGCTCATTCACTTGTGTATGTTACACTCACCCGTATGGTCCCAATTTTTACTCCAACTCCCTCTTGCCACATTTCAACTTCTCAGACCACACTAGTGATTACCTCAAGGAGTGATTCTCAATAATTTTAACTCACAAATCCCTTTGTAGAATCAATTTCTGCAGCAGAGCACCTTATGCCAGCTGTACCCTATGTTTTACTGTTAATGGTGTCTAGAAATTAACACGGCACATAGTGTTTGGCAGACCTGTTCACTCTCATGTCTGTCAATAATTTTGGAGCTAGGAGCAGCAGATCCAGCTTTTTCCGTCTTTTTTCTTTGTTCCTACTGCTTATGCCATCAATGGTTGCACAGAGGAGTTAGATGTAGTCTCCTGTGTTTTACAAGTTGCATGACTTGTGTTAATGTCCTGACTCCATCCACTCATCTCTTTCTTAGTTGGCCTCTTAACTTGTAGCCTGCTGTTCTAAAGCAGTATGCTCTAGCTGCTGGCTGATTGTGTTCCATTCTGACCAGATGACCAAACCATTTGATTCTTTGATGCTCTTTGAAATCACTTACCGGTACTGGCCTACCATTATTCTTAGTTCTTTGTTGGTGACCCTGTCTCTTCTTTTTTTTTCTGACTCTGTCTCTTCTGATTTTTCCGGCCACATTTCCTAAACATCTTATCTCACATATTGTAATTTTGCATCTGATTTTTTAGGACTGTCCTTGTAAAACATTGATAGCACACAGTTGGTACAAATAGCACATTTATCAGCTTCTTTTTTTCTCAATAATCTTCAATATTCAGTTTGTATTTAGCTTCTCGTGTGCCCGCAGAGGGCCTGTGAAGTGCATTCTCCTAGTACTCAAATGAGCAGTTGTTGAGAACCGCTGACTTAAAGTAGCAACTGTTTGTGACAGACAGGAGTAACATAACTTGTCTTTTAAGTATTTTACTGCATACGTAAATATGTACAGGTGCATGAAATGTGCTACTGATTAAATGGCATGTTATATATATATATGTTTTCTGTTTGTTTCTCCAGTGTGTGGACTTTCACTTGCTGGAGTACAGCAGTCAGATATGGTTCAAAACCAAAACCAATGCTGATGATGTTATGCATGACAGGGTACATCAGTATTGTATCTGAATTTTAAAAGATTTTTCACTGTGTAGTTATGTGTGTTTGTGTGTCTGTGACTTTATCTCTATTTCTCTATTTCTCTCTCTCTCTCTCTCTTTCTCTCTTTCTCTCTCTCTCTCTCTCTCTCTCTCTCTCTCTCTCTCTCTCTCTCTCTCTCTCTCTCTCTCTCTCTCTCTCTCTCTCTCTCTCTCTCTCTCTCTCTCTCTCTCTCTCTCTCTCTCGTGTGTGTGTGTGTGTGCGTCCGTGCGTGTGGTTTTTTTTTTTTTTAAAGAGAGACAGACTGATATATATCTGTTAGTTTTAACATATAGTAATAAACAAAACAAAAAAGTAATGCTGTAGATTGTTGTCATGTCATTTTAGTATTGTGTTGCTTCCCATATGGTTTCTGTTACCCCAGATTCTTACCCACGTACGACTGCAGGTGACGTCTGGCCGGTGTAACCGTTAGAGGCGGCCTAATTATTTGAGGGTGGGGAAGGGGTTAGCTGCTGTGATTTAGATGCTTACCTGAGGATTGGAAGGTTGTAGGTTCAGATCCTGAGAATAATGGTTCCTAGGTCGACCCTGCCTTAAATGAGTACCAGGTAAAGTTTTGGGAAGTTAAGGTGGCTGGCATGATGCTGATCATTTCACCCACCAACTGCCGATTGGTTTTTAAAAATACAGGTCTGGCCTTATATGCCCAATACTCCTGAAGTTGTGGAATAAAGTCCATTACTTTACTTTTAATTATACAGGGTATCTGGGATCTGCCTTGTTGGTCTGCCGTCCAGATTGAGATTGCTTTGATGTCACGATGGTCTGGTAAACATGTAGGTAGCTGTACAGAGGAAACAAACTGATTTGTATTTTAATTTTTGATCAGTCGTGGAAGTTGGTTCCACAGATGAGCTGCAGAGTACGCCAGACTTTTTTTGTACCAGCAGCTGCTTCTTAACAAACATCTTGAAAAAGGCAACTCATTAGGATTTTGCTGAAATCAGATGTGTTGAGTTGAAAAGTACAGTTATCACAGCCTAGCTGTAAACCACAATACAATGTACCAACTGCCCTTTTAGGGTGAATGTAGAAGAAAAAGAAGAAGAATGTTGTTAATTTATCTAGAATTAAAAAGGGTAATTATAATTCCACAGTAAACAATGCTATAGACATGAAAAGTGTCAGGATTTCACATATACTAGATTATGCTGTAACAATGTTAAATATTCAGGATTTCCCTAGAAATATTTGACAGTTTTATGATAGCCACTTATTGAAGCTGGAATAGAAATCTTGAGGTGATCTAGGTTTTTAAAAAAAAACACCCCAAAAAAACTGTGAACCCAAAGTAATATATAAATGGCACAATAGGATGATGAAATAGCTAGCAGCTGGTATGCATTGCCCTTGAAGAATACTTTATGGGCAAGAGTTGAGTTGAGTTGATTCAAGAACCGACAGCACAGCACTCGGGGCATTTCCATAGGCATGGTCAAAAAAGGATCAAATTAAAAGGATGGCATCAGGGCATTAGAGGGTACTGTATCAGTTGCAGATTTTAAGCAGCATGACAGTTATTTTGTCACTGTCTGTTGTGTCTTCCAGATTATAGGGTTTGGGTTGAAAGGTCATCAGTCTGGCAGAATACAGTTTCCTGTGAAGTTCAAGGTTCACACACCTGACAGACGTGTCGCAGCAAAAGATGCCAGGTGCAGTAATTTTGACATATGTAGTAATAATATGCGGATTATATTTCTCTTCTGTCCCTCTCACAGAATCAGATGCAAGATAAAGTGAGTGAGTACACTTGATGTGAGATCACAACAATAAGGTCTAAAAATCCATAAGGGAAAGACAAGATATTGAGAATAAACCAAGCAAATAGAAATGTGGTTTTTCTTAATGGTATCCAACTTTACGATGTGGGGTCACACCTATTTGGTCAGTAATATAAATAATGATGGGGGAACTAATAAAGATATTAAAATATGAAAACAGAAGGCAAGAAAAGCTTTCATAGCACTAGGAAATTTTTGGAGGTCACAAGAAATACTATATTAAAGTTCCCATTTTTTATTTTAATGTAAAATTACCACAGGTATAGGAAGTAGAAACATGGTGAACAACTAAAACATTAAATAATAAACTAGTAACACGGAAGGTGATCAGATGTTGAAATTATTTTTTAAAAATGGAAATCAGATGGATGTTGAGGCACATAATCACCTCAGCATGAAACATTATTATATTAATGGTGGTAATTATGATAGATTGGATTATTACAAGTTTTTGTCTTTGACCTGCGGCTGGCCTAGCAAGCTGGCAAGGGATTATTTTATTGCTTGAAGAAATAAAATCAAATATAACCAGACTGACCTAAATGAAATCAGACAGTGGAGTAAATAATAAAGTCCCTTGGAATCCCCATATGTGAAGCACACAAATGGGCAATCTCCTGCAGTTATGGACACTGTCTCCTGAGTGTATAAGTATTATATTTGAGTCATGTATGCTTATTAATGTACTACCTAAAGGTTGTAATTTTGAAGGAAATACAAAGAAAGAAATTCTGACGCTCACTGGCACGGCATCAGCAGCTTTTAAAGCCTGAACAAATATAAAACACTAGATTGTATAGTTTTCAAACCAAGTTAAGTGTTTTCAATTCTAACGTTATTTCAGTTTTAACATATGCTAGGGAAAGTTAGAGAACCGCTAAAGACATGGAATAAAAGTTAAATGCATATGAAAACCAATGTCTTTAAGGTAAATGTTAAACATGAAATAGGATGAATTCAAGTGGAGTGAAGAATTAGGAGAAATGTCTGGGCAACCTCTAGTATCAACAGCTGTAAGGCAGGGAAGGTGGTACTATATATGACACATGCTGAGAAGAAACGAGCAGAGAAACACCAAACAGGTACTAAAAAAGGAAACTAAGAGATAAAAGAGGTGAGGGGGAAAGAAACCTAAAATGAATGTTGATGAGAGAGACCAAAAGTGCTGGACTGGATTCTATCCATGATATTGAATTGATTACACAGGGTAGAATGAAACAGAAGAAAAGACTGTGAGCCCTGTGTGACATATAATGGCACAACAGAGCAGTGATGATTCAACGGACACTCGCCACGTTGGGGTTACCCTGACTACAATAGCACAGGGAAGTACATCGAAGATACTTGTGAAACAACTAACCTATTAGTGCTGCAGGACACAGAGTCTACACCTACACTGTTACACAGGGCCCACCTATCTCTCAGCAGACCAGACCTGACCATCTGCTCATCCGACTTAGCAGACGCAAGCTATCCCCAAGTCCTGGACGACATAGGAAGTGACCACAAACCTATACTCACAACTGTAAGCACCACCCCTAAATTACGCTTCAAGCAGAGAACCCGTTGGAATTTCCGAAAAGCAAACTGGAAACTATTTCAGGAAACATCTGACTGCCTCCTGGGAAGAATTGACAACAGCTGTGTGGAAACTTTTTGTGAAGACATAACACAAGCAATCCTGAATGCAGCGTCGAAAGCCATCCCAAGGGGCAGCCGGAAGGCATATAAACCTTTTTTGAATCAAGAAATTCAAAATACTATATCTGAAAGGAATAAAGCAAGAATATTTCTCGAAACTGCACGTTCAACAGAAGCAAAGATCCAATACAATAAAGCATGTGCCAGAGTAAAGCTTGTAGTTAATAAGGCTAAAAGAGATAAATGGACAGAAATTTGCTCCAACTTAGACCTTAGACAGAATGGAAATAAAGCATGGACTTTAGTTAAAAACCTCTCCGGAGAAAGTAGAAGGGTGAACCCAAAACCAGTGACAGATGGGAGTAAGACAATCACTGAAGACAAGAAGAAAGCAGAACATTTCAATCATTATTTTGCCTCAGTTAACAGAGCAGGTAAGCTGTCAGAACTCGATAGAACACAGCTCTCTCAGTTGAAGAAACAAGAGAGAGCTCCAACAGCCAGCGACTCCCTTTTTGAAAATGAATTTAGCATGGATGAATTAGAGCAAGCCCTGAAGAAATTAAAACCTAGAAAATCTCCAGGCCCAGATAAGATCCACAACGAAATGCTGCTACATCTTGGCCGGTCTGGGAGAGAAGTAGTTCTCAGGCTTATTAATAAAACTTGGAGGTCAAGCAAACTTCCAAGGGCATGGAGGAATGCATATATCGTCCCCATCCTTAAAACCAAAAAGCCTCCAGATGACCCCAAAAGCTACCGCCCGATATCCTTAACATCATGCTTGGGCAAAGTTGCAGAAAGAATGATAAACAGGCGCTTATATTGGTTCCTTGAGAGTTCTGGTGTTCTATGCCATGAACAGGCAGGCTTCAGAACCAACAGCTGCACAGAAGACCAGCTGTTCAGACTGACACAAAGAATACACGATGGCTTCCAGAATAAGAAACACACAGTGGCAGTCTTTGTCGACCTCCAGCAGGCCTATGACAGAGTATGGAGAAAAGGTCTCCTGATGAAGATGATGAGCATAGGAATACATGGCAGATTGTATAACTGGGTGAAATACTTCCTGATAGATAGAACAATCCAGACTAAGATGCACAACGCAATCTCTTCTAAAGAAGTCTTGGAGGAGGGCTTGCCACAAGGCTCATCATTGAGCTGTACACTATTCCTAATCTTTATCAATGACCTGCCAGAACAAATCAAGGCCGAAAAAGCCTTGTACGCTGATGACCTAGCAATATGGCAGAGTCATGAAAATGTGGAAAGTGGAGCCCAAAGACTGAATGGAGACCTTAGAAGACTGCATGATTACTGCCAAAGATGGAAACTCAAGATTAACTGTGCAAAGACGGTCTACACAATCTTTACCAAAAGCCACCAAGTAGCAAGGAAGAATATTAACCTGAGGTTAGACAAACACCAAGTGATGAAAGAAGAGCATCCCACATACCTTGGAGTCACACTTGACCCGCAGCTCAGCCTCAAGAACCATATTGAAAACATCAGGAATAAGGCATTGAGGCGGTTACAGTTATTAAAGAGACTTGCAGGTACATCATGGGGATCAGACAAGGAAACTCTGAGGGGCTTATACCTAGGATATGTTCGCTCTGTGATAGAGTACAACAACTCACTGCTTACAACTTGTTCCAAAACTAACCTAGAGACTCTTGACAGAGTACAAAATAATGCCCTCCGATTAATCTGCGGAGCTATGCAGTCTACACCAACTGCTGCATGTGAAATCCATACAAATGTGGAACCCCTCGGGTTGCGGAGAGAAAAAGCCACTTTAGAAATTTATGAAAGATGCGTTAGGAAAAATCGTAACCATCCTAATAGACATCTTGTAGAAAACTGGGAATCCAAACAAAGAATAAAGCACAAATCGGTTTACTTTTACACTGTGTAAATGAAATTCAGGACAGATACCACCTCCCAGAAAGACGTCAAGGAATTCAGAATGTTGCAAAAAACCTACCACCACATGCTCGCTTTAAAGCTCCAGAAGTCCAAACTAAATTGGTAGGCGAGGAAACCAAACAGTCCGACCCAATCGCTCTTATGAACTCATCACTAAAGACCGTTGATTCTTACCCCCAAGAATGGATACATGTCTATACTGATGGATCAGCATTTAAAGCTACCATTAAAGCAGGTTACGGAATCTACATAGGTTATCCCGATGGATCTGTTGAAGAGATTTTTGATGCATGCGGGGAATTCTGTTCAAACTATGAAGCTGAAATAATTGCACTGGAAACAGCAGTATACCACCTAAAGACTGTAATGGATGTTTACCCCTCAAAGGTCCAAAATATTGTCATCTTCACAGATTCAATGTCTGCCCTTCAAGCTCTGGAGGGCAATGAACGCTGCAGAACTGACATAGCCAAGATAATCCTGGATGCCGATCATCTTATTACCTCATACAACATCAGAATAGTGATGCAGTGGATTCCAGGTCACTCCGGCACACCAGGTAATGACAGAGCTGACAGATTGGCAAAGAAAGGAGCAACACAAGAACAACCACCTACAGCGACAACCCTCCAGACAGTAAAAACACTGATAAGAGCTATAAACAAAGAGACTTGGTTGAACAGATGGGCCATGGGAGACACTGGAAGAGAGGTTTATAGACATATGTCTGGCCCTGATCCTAATGACAGCATTAACCATCTAACAAGAAGGGACCAGGCCACCATCTTCAGACTTAGAACGCAACATACTCCACTCAATGGACACCTAAACAGAATACAGCCACAACACTCCCCAGAGTGCCAGCTATGTAACTACCCCTACGAAACTGTTGAACACCATCTCTTTGAGTGCCCAAAACTCAGTGAGACAAGAAGAACGCTACTCCCTCCGAGACCAGACAAGTGGAACACCTTGTACGGAGGAAAAGAACAGCTTGTGAAAACATGCAAATTCCACTACATGGCATTGGGCCAAAGGGCGAAAGCTCATGCGCCGCTGGATCGATAACAACAACAACAACAACAGCAGTGATGATGATGATACAACCAGTTGAACTCACAGTATATTAAAATATTGGGTTTTTTTTTCCACAGGTGTGTCTACTTTGATGATGGCTTGGACAAATGGGCCAGTCCCGCAGATGTATGTAAAGTGTTGAATGACCTCACCAGTGGCCAGGATGACTTTGTGGATTGTGAGTGTGATCACATGTCTAGCTATGCAGTCATAGCCACAACCCACAGTGAGAGCATCATAGGATATGTCGTCTGGTTTTATGTTGTTTGTTTCATTTGCATGGTAAGTACTTTTCATTTTACTTAAGATGATTGATATACTCAGTGTCACTCTGGGCGTGTGTTGTATGTTTATGGATAGTGTCTTCGCTTCCTTCTTTGCCTGCCCTTAAAAGGGCAGTTTGCATGTTGTGTTGTGGTTTACAGCAAGGCACTGATTTAAGCGCCTTTTAAGTGCCTTGATATAATTGTCTCCTCCCCCTAAATGGGAGTCCAGAACCCACATGGATATACAGATAGTATGAATGCTTTAATTTAAAAGGGGTGAATTTTACATACAGTTTTGCAAGGGGACCTTTTTTGGCCAAGTGATTAAGCTGTTGCCTCATGCTCTGAATGTTGTGAGTTATTTTATGGACTGTATTATTAGGTTTCCATGTGAAGATTTTACAGAAATATGTGGGGGTTATGAGAGCTTTAAAGTTTATGCTGTGTGCAACACTTTCCTGTTGGTGGCTAACCCTTCTATAGATAAAGACTGAGCCACTAGGGATAAAAGCCAGTGCATTGAAGTTTATCCTCATAACTTTTTTATTCTTCTTCGTTTGTCCCACTGTTTATGCCGTAAAGTGTTGCAGAGAGGAGTTAGCTGTATTGTCCTGTCTTTTGCTTGTTGTATAGTGTTAATGTGATATTACATTTCTGTAGCGTCTCTTTTACTCCCTACACCCATCTGTTTCTTGGTTGGCCTCTTGACAAAGTCTCCTGTTCCCATGTAGTAGGCTCTAGATGCTGACTAATTTTGTTCCATTCTGACCAGAGGACCAAACCATTTGATTCCTTGATGTTCTGTGAAATCATTTACTGGTACACTTTTCTTAGTTCTTTATTAGTGAGAAATTTTTGTTATAATTTATTTTTCATTTATCATCAAGAAGAACACTAAGTATGAAACTTCATACTAGTCAGCTCAGAGACTGGTGCGAAATATGTTTTAATGTCACTCTGTCAGCTAAAAAAAAAATACTTCAAATGCCCTTTTTTTGTCAACTTGATTCAAATGCTAAAACCCTTGTTTCTACTTCCCAGAACATTTCCTTACATTAATTTAATGCTTATCATCGTTTAAGCCCAGATCAATTTGTGGGGGATTGTGAACACATCACTCGGCAAGTGGACATTGGTCTCTACAAATATGAATCTTTTAATCATATGCCTGATGCACCATTGGTTATTTTCTTTTATTACTATTTCGGTGGTTAGCCATTTTATTTATTTTATTAAACTGTATCAGCATTTACTACTATTTTGTTAGTTTTTAGTATCATTTTCCCCACTGTAAATTTGAACAGTGAAGACACAAGCATTGCCATGCTCATTGGTAAAAGGACCCTTTTCCATGCCTTTAGGTGTAAAGGGCATATAGGGTGAGACCTATATTCTATAGACCAGTCAGCACTCAGTGGGTGATGTCATGTACCTGAGTAGATACAGCAAGTTTTGTTAGGCAATCTTTTATTTGTGTCTTCTTTGTTCAAATTTGTTGGTTAAGTCACTGTTCTTTTGGATTATTTTGTACTGGAAATACTTTGATCATTGGTTGTTTCAGATGTTTTAGTGATTTTTTTTTACTCTTTTGTGTGTGGACATGATTATTATTCAGACTCTAGACTTCAGAAGTTGTAATAATTCTACTTTATATCTCATATTTGTTAGAACTGTATACTATCTGTGGACTGTCAGGAGTTAGGAATAAATACATAGAAAATGCTATAAATGTTAAATGTGTTTTAATATTTGATACGTTTATATTTTCAGGCTTCAATGATAATATCTGTGACTGTGCATCATTTATGCTTCTCAAATGCAACATTTTCTGCCAGTGTGCATATGCACTTCCTTATGGCTGTCTTCTTCACACAGGTACAGTCCCTTTTGGTCCTAATTTTGCTTGTTATCCAGAAAACAATCCACCAATTATGTTTTATATTGAAGTGAAATGCAGACTGCATAGACAAAAGTAGTTTCATCACTATCTTGTAGCATGTCTTTTACAGAGTGTTGCTCACATAACAGCCTAAATAAGGTAAGTCAGTCCTCTACAAGCTCTCCTGCCTCATGGACTTTTCTTTCTTAAGGAAACGTAGTAAACAAATTATGGATGTCAGTACCAAACAGGGAAAACAAGGTTTAAAAAAAAAGGTAGACTTGTAACAGTAGAGGTTATGTTATCACAATTGACATCGAGTACTCGGTCCTTTAATGCATCAGCCATTTGAAGGTACTTCTACTAATTGTTCCCTTGAGAAGTTGGTTATAATGTCTCCTATCTCAGCCTCCAAGAAGATGTTCTTTACCAAGCTTTACTCCCATGTTAGTGTCAGAGGTTCGTCAGTATCGACTAGCCCAATCCATTCAATGTTGACAATATCTGCTCTGTCTATGCTTCTTCCCACATGCTTTGGTGCATTGCTTGCCAGTCGGTCCGCTTGGTCATCACCCTTTACGCCGGCATGACCAGGTGTGTAGATTCAAGTGAGGGAAGTTAAGTGCAATTTTCAAATGCTCTCTAGGCATTCAGAGCACATACCACCTATTGCTATCTTCTTAAGCAAGTTCATAGAGTCTGATATTATAATTACTGCCTGTGTGACTGTTTGCTGTGATGCCCATGCTAGTGATCTAGAAGCAGCAATTTCCATGGTCATGTTTGACATGGTTGTCTGGTAAGTGCACTGTCCTTTTGTATTATTTTCCACATTCATTGCGCTGTGTTTGCCCATGCTGACATTGATCCTTGCTTCACGGATCCATCTGTGTAAATAATGATATCTTCTGGGTGTGAATGCTGATCTATTGGTGCCCTTACCTCTGTGTCTATGACCGCAGGAATTTGATCCCTTCCCAGTGTGATGGGACCTTAGAGATGCCGGGCATGTCTACTGGGGTATTTGTCCATTCTTTTCCGTGACTGATCTCATCTAGGTCATATACTTACTGGATTAGATATTCAGCCTTGGCCATCCTCCAGGAGTGGCCTCTTATGAATTGCATTCCTTTTGTGTCGTGTATAGCTTTGTGCAATGGGTGGTTAACGTCTGCTGATACCCTCATGCGCACCTTGACCTGTGTGGCTTTGTGTCTGTTAGCCATCATTGGCAAACCCTGGACATATCACATGGTTTTGCAGGAGGTGTCTTTGTGCAGCCGAGTACGAGTCTCATGGCCTCATCTTGTACTCAGTCTAGTTTTTATAGCTGGGTTCTTTTGAAAGTGATGAGGCCAAGACCACAGTCAGTGATGCTTAATTAATACAAGCCCTTGATGGAGAAGGAAAAGTAGGCATTGTTCAATATCAGCTGTGGATAGCACCTTGAGTGCTGGCAGACCTTTCCTGGCTCTAAGTATGATGTTAACAGTAGAGATGTAATGCCTCTAAAGAATACTTAACTCTGTCCATCCCATGGTGTCATTTATATTAACAAAATAATTGCCTTTTAAAGTAAGACAAGTTTTAAGATGGTCAGTTTAAATTTTTCAACTAAATAGAAGGAATTCATAAGCTCATTTTGACAAAGAGTTTAATCTAACGACTCCGTGGAAACAGAATTTGTTGTTGTTTGTTTGCGTGTGGCGCGGTGATTTCGGTCACAGGCATGAGGGGAAGTTAAGTCTGATGTGATGTGTATAAGGAGATATTCCGTACCCCACTCGGGCGCCAGTCCTTCACTGTTCAGGTTTTACGGAACCTCATGCAAGACTCCTGTTGCACGTCCCGTCGTGCGTCATGGATAATGTCTCAAACGAGCATTAACAGAGTTGGCAGGGGATCTCGGAGCTGGCGGCCCCTAGAGGTGTAGAGTCCTTTCTGGCTCTCACCTGCCCGCCCCCAAACGCATGGGTGAAAAGTAACAAAACTCAAGGATTGCTTGCTAAATGTACCATCAAATGACAACTCTTGGTTAAAATTCGGGAGCGAATGGAAAAACTGTGCTGCTGAGACTCAACCCTGACCGAGAGATTTACCCGCAGCCAAGACGAGTAACATCTCTTGTGGGCGACTTCTCGCAGCAAGATCCTACCTACGTACATCCTCTGTCAATCCTCAGTGTCGTCGTCACCGCGCTGAGGTACACCATGGCAGCAACTATTCATATGCTGGCTTGAAAACAATGTCCGACAAAGTTACACCCCACGGCACACATGCAAGCTCAAAGTCCGACGATCATAACTCGTACCGATTAGGAAAAGTCTGAATGTCCGTATCCACTGGTCCAACTCGCCCGAATGTTGGGACCAAACAGGTGCAGCCACGCCTGACGCACTTTGCTTCCCCATTCTGTCGTGCTAAGGGCACAGCTGAAACAACGTTAAAGGTGTCTAACGTAAGATGAAAAAGAATGTACCTTTTTGTGTGGCCACAAACGTCCTAGACCTGCGGGCTGCTCCACGCTGATCTCCGGAGAGCGCAGACTTGTAGCGCGGGAAGCTCAATACACGGTTGTGAGGTTAAGCAGTCATGGGCAGGACGTGACGATTCCTTGGGTGAGCCCAGAACCAGAGCATCATGTGTCGGCTCTGCATTTATGGAAGCCTCCTTGGATGGCGGGGAATGCCCATGATCTGCCCCTGCCTTCCCTTGAGGGCTGAAAACTCTACATAGAGCTGCCTTAAGGACGACATGCCGGGGGCCACACCTGCTAAAAGTCAAAGAGGACACCACACAAATAAGGAAACATCTCGACCCACACAAAACAATGGCCACAGTCAACCTAGAAATAGGCTTGACGTCTTCCTCCGAAGTCGGAGTACATCTGCCGGAGAGGCGGGGAACGAGTACTGCAAACAAAAAAGCCAGTAAAACGGATGTACACGCAAAACTCAGGTCAAGGTAAAAGCCAAAAGTCCATTTTGGACGAACAACCGTGACTTACCGCCGGAATTCACAGCCGGTGAACAAGAAGAAGAAGAAGAAGAAGTTTGTTTGCGTTCACTGTCTCTGAACTCCAGGAGAAAATTGTTCCTGCATTTCTTGACTTTGACATTGTTACAAGACCTGACTTTTATATGTGAATTCATTGTACAGATTTAGCTTATTTGTATGCAGACTGTTGGCTCCTAGCCCCTCAGGTAGATGCACTCTAACTTCAATAGAAACGCTACAAATAAGTTGCCTCCTATGACATGCCTGTTAGGAGAGCAGTAGGTCTTTGTTCCTGCACAACGGGGCTGTGAAACCGCACAGAGGGATATTTTGACTTGGGTTAATACAACAACTCAGTGGGAACAAAGTTTAGTAATGTATACACTCTGGTTGGCACCTGTCTATCTTTCTAACCTAAAGTGTTATATTGTGCTATGAGGAAACCATGAAACCACAGCTTATGACAATGGTGAGGGTACCAAGAAAGACCTTCCCATGTTAAGAACAGTCTACTGCAATTAGAGCATGGGACTTCAGGATCGTTGTTTCCATGACGTGTGTGTGGCATTCTGATGGCTATGATGCGTCTCCTGGCTGGTTGCCTATGACTTCAGCACCTTACTTTGCTAGGGTTTACTGTGATCATTCTCGAGGAGCAGTCCGGTTTTACTGTGCCAGATACTCACTGTCACACCTTCTCCTGTTGCTTTAAACAGTTCTACCACAAGAAGGCCAGGAGCTGGACTCCAGCTATCAGAGGTGATGAATGCACAAACCTCAGGGGTATTTGATGAGAGTTGAGAGCTCATCCTTAACCCCCATCCCTCAGCTATGACAGTAATTTAAAAAAAAAGAACAAGAACAAGAAAATACCCAGTAAACAACACAGGGAGGATATGCAAATATTTTAAAATCATCAGGCTCTCAACCAGCTCACTGTTGGGAAAAACAAACCTTTTGTGCCGCAGTGCTGTAGTAGTGCTCGGCAGTTGCAGCTGCTAGATGCTCAACTGTTGGCCAGAAGATCATGGGTTTACATTTGTGTCTAGTTGGATGTTGCCAGAAATGACCATAGCTCCCAGGTCAACCCAGCTATTAATAGCAGCCGAGGGATGTTGACCACACCACCCAAGAAGTGCTGATTGGTCTTACTGAAAGTTATGCTCATGACAAGATATGCAGTCACATAGTTAATACTTCTGTGGAGTAATTATTTATTGCATGCACATTAATGTGCAATATATATCTATATATATATATATGTCATATCTCACTGTTTGTAGATGAGTCTGGTGATTGATGCCTTCTTCTCCCCTGATGATATCTTGGCATACAGTGTGCATGAAGACAACTCCAGGTGTATTGCCATGGGCTTATTCTTGCATTACTTTTTCCTTGCTCAGTTCACTTGGATCACTACTCAGGTCAGACAACTAACTGGTCATACTGAAATTATTTACATTTCATGTTTTGTTATATGCTAGAGCATACTCTACAAATTACTTTTTTTCACTGTCTCATAATAAAGTGACATATTATAAATTCTAACATTATTCCAGTTTGAACATATTCCTCTGAAAGTAAAAGAACCACCAGTGTCAAGCACCCAGAAATAAGTCTCTTAATTACCTACAGAGACAGCAAATCAACTAATTAGTCCATGTAGAGAGATGCCTTTTGATGCCATACCATACAGAGCATACACCAAATAAGGAGATGGATGAAGATCACGAGGTAGACCAAGAACACGAGGGAAAGATAACATTAGAGAAACTCTACAACAGTATGATGTGTCTGTAGTCAAAGCAGCCAGAAGATCAAGAAAGAGAACCTTTGGTTTCCTTGACACGTGAAGTGGTAAAAGAGAAAGTGAAGAAGAAAAGAAGAAAAAACAAGTATTGGAAGAAACTGATGAATTTTAAATTGTATGAATTCACAAAATGTGAATAAAAATGAGATATATCTGGACAACCACTGATATCAACACTGATAAGACAAGGAAGGTCGCAATAAATTGCGGACATCTGAGAATAAGTAAGCAGAAAAGTCACCAGACGAGCACAGATAGCAACACTTATAAGACAAGGAAGTGGCTATTTATTGGGAACATCTGAAAATAAGTGAGCAGAAAATCACCAGACAAGCACTGAAGTTGGAAACTAATGGAAATGAGGGGGCAAAGACATCCTAAAGAATCTCTAAACTACTGAAGCAAAAGGCCAAAGGTGTTTTGCTGGATTCCATCCTTTGTATTGGAAGAATTAGTGGTGCAGTGATTTCGGTCACAGGTGTGAGGGAAATTTAAATCAGATATGATGTGTATAAGGAGATACTCCCTACCTCACTTCGGGCGCCAGCCTTTTCTGTGCTGCACGTCCAAGTTGTGTGCCACGGATAATGTCTGAGCATTAACAGAGCTGGCAGGGGATCTTGGAGATGTAGTGTCCAGTATGGCTGTCATCAGCTCACTCCCAAAAGCATGGGTGAAAACGTCTATCAAAACTCATTTGGAGCATGGATAAAGTCTCTCTGTCTAATGTACCACTAAATGACAATTCTCAGTTAAAAGTCTGTCGAGCGAAAGAAAAACTGAACTGCCCAGACTCGGCCCTTGACCAATAGATTTGCCCGCAGCTTAAATGAGAAACATCTTCTGTGGGCAGTTTCTCACAGTAAAATCCTGTCTACTTACATCCTATATCCACTCTCAGCTTCAACGTTACTGCGTTGAGGTACATTACAACAGCCACCATCAGTCTGCTGGCTAGGCTCAAATGTCAAACAAAAACTTGTTTTATGGTACAAAAGCAAAATCTGCACATGATAGAATGAAATAAATGACTAGATTTTGAGTTCTATATGACATATATTGGTATAACAGAAAAACAAAGATGAATCACTGACAATGCACATGTTTCTACCTGCCATGACTTTGTATCAGTCTTGGCCTCATGGGCTGTGACAACAGCTCACAGAAGCCAGCTTCAGACCTTAGTACAGGGTACAAGAAGGGACAAAGTTTATAACCAGACAATACATCATGATCTAGAAACTTAGGCCTTACAAACTCATGTGGATTGTTCACAGTTATGATGGTTTGGACATGTATACAGAATGGACGAGAATCAGCCACCACGGCAGGCATGGGAGGTCAGGAACCAGGGGACAAAACTCCTAGGATGACACAGAGTTTGCTAGGAAGACAACATCTGACAGTCCTTGACTGGAATTGAACAAATCTAACAAGAAAACAGCTGACAGAGAAGTCTGGCAATCTACCTAGCAAACCCCTACATCCTAAAGTAGAAGAGGTTCAGTGAAGCAAAGTAAAAAGTAATGTATGCCTTTGAGTCATAGCAGGCTGAAAGATTAGCAATACAAAAGGTAACAAGTGACCCAAAATATAGATTTACCATTTAGAGTGGGAGGCACTGTCCACTACAAGAAACAGTATTTACTGTAAATATTTGCATCTTTTAATTATAGTTGATGAATTAATATAAGGAGTATTACATAGCCGAATTTAGTCATAGATTGAATGAATCAATCAAGAATTGACATCACTGCACTCAGGACATATTTACATGTGCTCAGTCCCCTTCTTCACTAACCAACGAAGAGTTGACATAGTAATAGTACCAGTATGTAGTCATAGATATGTCTTTAGTGTATCTGTTAGTGATGAAGCCAGATATTGAAATCAATAATTGGTTGTATATGATTTATTATTGTTTTACTGCAGTCTTCTTTACAAAACTGGTTTGCCTAATGTGAGTGTATTTGTTTTCACAAATTAGGCTATAAACTTGTGGAAGGTTCTTATTATGAACGATGAGCACAGCGACAGACACTATGTTGTCTTCTTCATTGTTGGATGGGGTATGTATGTCTTCGTCCTCTAAAGAACATTGCTAGAAGGACTTTAATGAAATAAATGTATATTCTATGTCAGCTAATCAGTCAGTCTTGGAAGTGCAGTGGCAGTAGTTTTGAATTCTCACCAGTCCCTGTGTGGGTTCTGAGTCACCATTTTGTTTTAGGGAGATTAAAAGAATAGGCTCACCATCCCTTAACAACTATGTCACAAAAGAAGACTAATTAGGCTTTGCTACAACTGGATGTGTTGGTGGAAAAGGCACAAATATAGCAGCCAATCTCTAAATGACAACACAGTGTGTCAACCACCCTTTGATGGTGAACACAGAAAAAAAATGTTTCCCATCAAAGCAAATTAGAACGTTGTCCCTGTGTGGGATGCAATGTTTAGTTATTTTGAAGCCTCATCCTGGCTTTCGCCGGGGGCCCTAAATATAGCAAGGCCTTAAATATGGCTGAACAGGGTTTCTGGGACCTCTCCACCTGCTATCCTCATCTGCATAGTGGTACTTTGTGTTACTGGGTGTTTATCGCTTGTCTAATGTCCTGGTGGGGTACAACTTACCTACCTACATATTCTCCACTGATCCATACATGTGAGTTTCAACCAAAATTTGCCAACTGGATGGACCTGAGATCATTCTACTGCATGTAGAGAGCACATCTACAGCACATGGTCTGTCTCTGTTAGGGGTGCCTGTCTACAGAAGCAGAGTTCTGAAGGCAAATTTTAACAGTTGATTTGACCTCCCAGACTGACCCAAGCTTAAATGGGTTACAGGAAATGTTCTGAAAATAATTTCAGCTGGTATGATATTCGCAAGTTGCATATACAAAGTACCTGGTTGAACACAAAATACACTCTCTTGACTTATGACCATCCACACTTACGACCACAAAACATTAAATAAATAAAAATAGTAAAGAAAGAAAGAAAACTACATTTGTAGTGTCAGAACATTCCTGGCACTGATGCTTAGAGTGTACATAGATGCCTCTGTACAATAATTATACTTGCAAACCTGCACTTTTGTGCTTTAGTAAAAGAATTTATAACCTATTTGAATAAAAATATATACTTGAGTATATGAATAAATATAAGACCTTGAGACTTTTGTACAAGTATAAATATCGTACCTTGAGGCATTGAGACAAGTATAAATATCAGATCTTGAGACATTGGTACAAGTATAAATATCGTACCTTGAGACAATGAGACAAGTATAAATATCAGACCTTGAGACATTGGTACAAGTATAAATATTGTACCTTGAGACATTGAAACAAGTATAAATATCAGACCTTGAGACATTGGTTCAAGTATAAGTACTGGACCTCGAGACAATGAAGTATTAAACTTATCATTCAGAAAGTTACTACAGATTTATGCCTGTTGTATAACCAGAAAAGGTCACATCAGATTATGTTTTTGATACATACCTATTAGGAAATTATATGGGCAGTTTAACTAATAAAAAATACTTTTATACAACAGTCATTATCATGGGAACTGTAATCCAACATATGCGAAGGCGTAGCACCTGTTTATCAGTAGCTGCATTGGATTTATCACACACTTTGACACAGGACTCCTAAAGATGCATCAGTTGAGTGGTAGAAGCATGAACATGGGACATGGGTAGATAGATGGGTGGGCGAACAGGATGGCAAAGAAATTGAGAGAGACAGGTTTGTTGGTAGATATGTATTTAGATAGGTAGGTAGGGAATTAGGTAGATAAGAGGTAACTAAGTAGACATCTAATCATGGAGAGATAATTAGGCAGGATGGCAGACGGACATATTTACATATGTATATGCAGCTTTTCTTTTGTTGTTGTTGAATAACAGTAATGTCTTGATTGTTATCTCTTTCAGGAGTACCAGTTATTATTGTTGCCATATTTTATGCTGTGACATTTAACATCTTCAAGTATCATACTGACCTAAGTGTGGACTTTATTTACGGAGATGTCAACAATAATGGAGGCATGTAAGTTCATGAAAAATCTTCATGCTAAACAATCGTTGTCTTCTTCATCTGCATTTACCCTAAAAAGGGTAGCTGGTACATTGTATTGTGGTTTACAATCTTCTTCGTCATCCTAAAGTCCATGCCATGTGTGGCGTTGGTTGCCATGTCTATCCACAACCTTCTGTCTCATGTACTTTCAATCAACTCTACAGACGATCCTCCATGCCATGATGTCATCCTGGGTCATCCTCTGCCTCTCCTCTCCCCCCCCCCCCCAACCTTCCTACTGTCATGATGTATTCCAGTTTTCTCCTCCTCATCACATGACCATAGATTGTAGATTATCTCTTTTTGACGTGTGGAACCAGTTCTCTTTGTGAGTCCCTTTCTTTCAAGACATCCACATTACTCTGTTTTGTCTGTCCAGGGTATTCTCATCCTTCATCTATAAAACCACACCTCCGCAGCTTCCAAATAATTTTTCACTAATCTACTAACTGTCCATAATTCACTTCCATATGTCAAGATTCGGGGGGGCTCTGTGGTCTGGAGGCATGATGCCCACCTTGAGTGCTGGAGGTCTTTGGTTCAATCCCCTGAGATTTTTTTCACGTGGACCTAGTAATTTACCTTGGTCTCTAAGCAGTAAGATGGGACACCGATGTGTTTTGTTGCACATGTAAAAAAATCCTTTGGCGGTTAGAAATAAAAAAAAAGTAGCCTAACGGTGCTGCCCATGAAAAAATTTGGAGTTAAAAATCCACCCAAAGTATTTCAGGATCCTCGCCGGTGCTACAGAGTACATGCACTGCGTTGAGATTCTTCGGACCCAGGCTTGAGTCAGAAGTAGAACAGAGCACTTATGGGTTACTACCCTTTTGCCACAATGTTGATCCCTCGTTTAAACCTAAACTTAAAACCAAATCAAGATAGGATTTAAAGGATTGCTTTGAAGAATTATCTTTTTCGTCTCACTTGATAAAGAAATGGTTTACAATAAGCTGTGATCATTGCATCTTTTGACCCAACACATCTGATCTCAGCAAATCCTTTATTAGTGACATTTTCAATAAGCTTCCTAAGTATAGTGTGTCTAATTATCCCCCCCCCCCACCCCCCCCCCCCCCCCAAATTACTGAACCTTAAAAACCACACAGGAGACATTGAGCTATCAGTATGTGTGCTTCCAAGGATCAGTCCATATGTACAATATTCTGGTTATTGATACTTACACTTTTTCCTGAGAATCTTGCGTGGCAGCTCTAGTGAGGCGTAGGGTGAAAGGTTTCACCAAGATATAAAAACAATGGAACAGAGATGCCAGAGACTGTGGGAGGCCCACATAATGGCAGATTACTGATTCACCCTTTAACGTGACATATCACATTCCAGGAAGTCCTCAAAAGAAGCTTTTTATGTGTTGATAAACAAATGCTAGTAATTAAGCTCTAATACATTTTTGGTGCTTTTTTTTTAAGGTAATAAATGTGCAGTAAGTAGTAAAAGTAAAGATCCCTTTCCACGCCTTTAGGCATATCGGGCATATAGGAAGAGCGCCCATATTTTTACAGACCATCAGCACTCGGTGGGTAATGTGGTCAACATTACGCCGGCTGTCTTTACTTTCCCAGGACAGCCATCCTGGTACCCATTTTAGGCTGGGTCGACCTGCGACGCCACATACCATGATAAAAAATCCACGCAGCCAGCAGTGGGTTTCGATCGCGGTATGTTGGATTACGAGTCGGACTCGCAACGCCTAAGCCACGGACGCCGCTAAATGCGCAGTAATTACCTATAATATGAATGCAGATTAAAGTCAAATGCCACTGACAGCATCTGACTCTAAGCTTGTACATAAAAGGGTAATCCCTGCTAAGAAGGTCAGTCATTCTTAGTTATTAAAAAAAATAGAGCTGACAGAAAATTCTAATTACATTTTTGGAATCAATGACAAAAAATTACACAAGAACAGGTTTACAATTTATGGCATAACAATGTTTGTAGACCAGTATTATAAGTTTTATATTTATCATAGTGTTCGACAACATTTTTTAGAAGTGAAATTACACATGTACCAAATTAATAACTAATTGTAGCCTATATGTTTAACTACATTTGGCCCTGATGTCTCAACTGAAATAAACAAATCACATAGGCTTTTGTTACACTGTTGTTCTCACCATAGAAGTCTAAGATTAACTATATGATCCTGTTACTTGATAATTTGGGTTGCTCATTCTCAATACCACTCCTTCCACATATTTATAGGCTTTTTTGTTTTAAAGAATTCAGCTTTGTGCTTTACTATATTTTAAAATGAATTTTGTATTATTGCACTTGGTGAGATACAGCAATATATTTCAAGCAATACTGTGCAATGCATTGAAGGTGCCCCAAATTAAATGTTTCGCTGTTAAAATCCTATGGAATGTACCATATGTGATCAGCTATTGTTTGTGTGTATCACTCACTAGATTGTGCATAATTATATTTCTAACATTTGGCCTGAGTATACTAAGCAAACATGGCTAGTCATTTTAATATAAAGTACCCCATGTGTTGCTAATTTTAAACTAACATACTTACTTTATTTCATTGTGGTTATTACTGCATTTATGCATCTCTGTCGAAGTCCTCTGGACAGAAAGAGTTAATACAGTGTTGTGCTGTACAAGTCATTTTTTTTCTTTCAGATGTTTCCTAACCAGTGGTTATTCAGCCCTTGGTGGGATATTAGCTCCAGTTCTGTTTGCAGCATTGGTGGTGTGTACTGTGTTTGTAAAAGCATACCAGCTGTCATCACAATGGTATTACTATGATGATGTTTATCGTAGCCGACCTAACTCACAAGGTTAGTTTCACTGTGTATAATATTTTTCACATAAACATAAGTTTTTTTTTTTTTTTCAAGTTATTGCTAATGTTTCTTTATTTTAAAATGAATAAGTAATGAGTTAAACAAAAAACATTGTAGCACTCGGGACATTCCCATAAGTACTATGTCCCCATCTTTAGCAGCAAATGCAGATTTTCAGCTTTAGTGGTACCAGTCTGATTATTTGTCCATCTCGCTCTTCCCCTGAGTGCTGAGCATCAGCCAGATCCCCTAGTCCCTCCACATGACACTATTCTCTTACCGTGTTGACCTGTTTGTGTCTCCACACTGTTTACTTGCTCTCAAAGGACCCTTACAACATCTAGCTTGTCATACATCAGTTTACCAATTTTGTTAAACACTGGCAAAGAGCTGTATACACTGTAATCATCATCAGGTACACTTTTTTTTTCCAATGGTTGGTTATACTGGGTCTCTAGGATCACCGTCAGATTTCTTAGTGAACACTTACAAGATTCTGCCATTGCCTCAGTTGCTGCTGTTGTTGTCTTACTTTACAAAATGTCTATGCACTTTTTTCCCCAAGCACATCCTTTAACAAAAGCGTAAGGACATTTCATGTTACAAGAGGGAAAAATTTTTTTACTCACTCTAGAATCAGGTTTGACTTAAACGTGTGAAGTCAATATTTCTAAGTAATGTTTATTTGTGTGTGTCTGCATGTGTGTGTGTGTGTAAGCATGAGCGCACACATATGTGTGTTTAATTTCTGAAATAGCCAGATGTGATAAGAATTACTATATATATATATATATATATATATATATATATATATATATATATATATATATATATATAGTAATTTTTTATATATATATAAATATACTCCTCTCAGTAGTAACATTTTGTAATTATGCTTCTAAAGTAACTGCTAGAAGATCTACATGGGACATTGAAAAACCAGTTACCCAAATAATTTTATCATGAATACCAACTTTTATTTGTTATCATGATACAGTACAGTATCAGATTATCTTTACTTTGCCAGTTTTGGACCCATATTGACACAAACATGTATACTGATTGGCAAGTAAATTTAATTGCACATTTGAAATAATATGAAATGTGTATACATCATCCACACCGTTAGGTGTGTTGGGCATGTAGTGCTAAACCTGTATTTTATAAACCAGTCGACACTCATGGGGTGATGTGGTTAGCATTATGCCTTTACTTCCAAGGATTTAACCTAGTAAATATCAAGAAAGTCGACAGTCTAGAAAGCAATGGCAAACTACTGGACGTAAATTTGCCTAGAAAAACCACACAACAGCCAGGGGCTATTGGGGTTGGTTCTGCAACGTCCTGTAAAGGATATGCAACTAACCTTAACCTGTATTTTATAAACCAGTCGTCACTCATGGGTGATGTGATCAGCCTCATGCCTTCACTTCCAAGGATTTAACCTGGTAAGCATTTCAGGCTGGGTTGACCTGGGAGCCAAGGTCATTTTTTTACAAACAAATTGGAACCAATGACCTTTAGACCTGAGGCCAGCATCTAGCCGCTAAAGAATGATGACTCCTAAAGAAAATAACATAAATTATATCATTTCTCCACCAGAAATTCCATTCCTGCTTGTTATCTGGGGGATTCTAGTGCTTGCCTATTTGTGGCTCGCCCTACACATGATCTTTGGATACCTGTGGCTGATGGTCTTGTTTTGTATTTTTGATCTTATTCTGGTAAGTATCACAAATCTTACAATCAGATGGACATCCTTCAAATCAGTTGTCTTCAATATTTTTCGAGTGGTGCTCCCCCCCCCCCCTTTCCCATGCATCCCTCCACCCCCAATGTTTTCATCGTGGTGGCACACATGGGACATAAAAAGAAATGTCAAGTATTGTCATCCAGAATGCAGAGAAAAAACATGCACAAAATTCAGTGTCAAATAACAAAAGAAACTAGCACTAACAACTGGTAATTTAGTGTCCATATATCAGTGTGATGGTTGACACTGTTTTGTGATATCTGCCATTTGTGGCCTGATATTGGACAAGGCACAATGGAGATCACTCTCCATATCAAGCTGGCAGAGCTGTTTTGTTTTCATGACTGTTGAAGCTTAAAATCCTTATTTTTAACCAGATTTCAAATTGCTCTTCCCACACACCCCCCACATACACACATCCCACCCCCACACACACACATCCAACGCCCCACACATCCCCATCCAACCCCCACACACCCCCACACACACACACATCCCACCCCCACACACCACCCCCACCCCCTCCCCCACCCCCAGGTTAGAGACTATTGCTGTAGAGAGAGAGAGATAGAGACACACACACACAAACACCACACACACCCATACATGCACGCGCACGTGCGCACACACACACACACACATTTAAAGTAACCACTGCTTAGGATTTTCTTTTTTGGTCTAAAGTGTTGTCATTTTTTTCGATAGGAACTCACATTAGAGTAATTATAACTTTTTGTGGGTGACCATAAATCCCAATCTGTCAGTGCACACATGCGCATGCACACACACATGCACGCACACACAGACACACATGCATACTCACACATGTGCACATACACACACATATACACATGTGTGCACACCCACACATTGTTCCGACTAACGGGGGGAAATGTGCAGTGCACCTGACCAACAGAGCCAGAAGGAACTGATCAGACAGTCAACAGAAACTGATGGCCTAACAGGCTATGGAATTATGATGATTATGATTCTAATAGCTAAACATGAAAATTATTTTCACATCCTTGTTTCTATAACAGGCACTTCTAGTCTTTATTTTGTATGCTGTCGTCCGCAATCCACTGCTGGCATGCATCTTCGGACCTGTGAAGGCTTCATACTCAGTAACTGGTGATGATGTTGATACCTTCTCCACCCCTGTGCCAGACTACAGCTTGTATGCTCCTACTGCCAGCATCAAAGGCTCACAGGCTTCTTTATTAAATGAAGTAAGTGACAAGTTATCATAGAGATAGGTCTGATTTTGGTATTAAAAGTAAGCTAACCAGATCTTTTTGTCATTAGGGCATATAGGAGACATTTTACTTTTAATGCAGAAACTTGATAACTGAACTAGCATTTATACAGTTGAATGGGAACCTTAAAAATATAGTTAGTTAGTTGCTTATCCTTTATAGGACATAGCAGAACCAACTCAGCATTTTTTGGCTGTTGTGGTTTTTTTAGATAAATTTACGTCCAGTAGTTTAAAAATATAGATATACACAAAAACATGGATCTAAAGCGAACAAATGTCAAGTTCCTAGATAAGCTAAGCATTATATAGGTAATTCAACAAAGAGAAGTGAGCAAAATATTTTTGCCATTTTCAACTCTTTCAGTTCCAAGGAAAGCATCATTCATTCATAGGTTCCTACCTAAGATGCCCCAATTTTATGTCTTTCTTTACTATCCCTTGTGCCTCTGATGCTAATCTTCCTGGGACAGAAAGAGTTGAAGTCACGACACCCATATTAAAACTCTACTAGATATAAAAGCTGAAAGCAAGCAAACAAAACATAGGCAGCAACACAAGTGTTAAAGTTACATAACAGAAATGGAGACATTCTCTACCACTATGCTGGACTGAAGTTTGGCTTCAATTGAAATTGTCAAATGTTATTTATTAAATGAATTATAAAACATTAATCACTGAAATTTATTTTGGCAATATTGAAATCAAGCTGGGCTAAATCAAATGCAAAACATGGTTTTGTGTCAAAATGTTAATGAATAAACAGCATACAGATGGTAATATACTTCCACAAAACAACAACTGCTACACATTATATAAGGTTGGTTAGAGTTGTATTCATCATCATTTCATAGAAGTCATTTGCTAAACAGAATGTTATTGTCAACATAATCCGCCAGAAAAATTATTATTCTTTCATAAATTTCTTTGTTTCATGCGTTTTTTAGGAAGAGGTGTCTTTAATGTCCTTTGTGCATTACCTCATTGGTATACTTCTGCCTTTTTTTCCAGGAATCATGTCCTCCATCACTTCTTTTTCTTCTTCTTCTTGTTTCTACACCTGGAATGCCTTACAGCATCAGGGCAGGAAAAGATGTCTGGAACTGGCCCTTCTATTTGCTTTGTATAAAGTACTTATCAGTGTCTTTAATATTTCTGCAGTCCATCTTTTGCTTGGTTGACTTCTGGAACTGTTACCTTTGTTAGTTAGTTAGTTAGTTAGTTGGGTTATCGTCATTGCACTCCGGACATGTCCATAGGTGCTCAGATCCTCCCCTCAGTATGAACCCCAACGTCCGATGGCTAATAGTACCAGTTCTATGTTGATTAACAAGTCTTCTGACGTGTCCGGTGTGCGTCTCGTTTTTTGCTGTGCCGATCTTAATTCCCAAGTCTGCCATTCTGGCGAGTGATGTGGATTCACTGCCACCAAAGTCCTCTATCCTTCCCATTTCTCTGAGGGCATTGAAAATATCAGCATGATCCATAGGCCAACCGTCGGTAGTGATAGCGGATCCAGCCAACCTGTCAGCTCTTTCATTTCCATCGACGCCTGCGTGTCCCGGAACAAAAATAAAGGTGACTCCACACACAGTGGACTTCTGTAATGATTCAAGCCATTGTCTTCGCACTGAACCTGCCTGAACCCTCCGGATCATACTCATTGAATCACTGAGTATACATATGCAGGTGTATTTTTGTGTTTCAAGCCAGGCAAACGCTTGCGTCACTGCCATCACCTCCATCGTCATGCTGCTGGTTGTCATGGAGAAGGCACCGTTGGCTTCTTTGACTGTTCTGCCCGCTGAGCGTGCTGTAAATGCCCATGCGCTTCTTCTTTGGCGTATAACGGATCCGTCTGTATGTTACCTTTGTATCTGTGTGACATTGCTCTCTGTGCTGCTCTGTACTATTCTTTGTAAATCACTGTAATATTTATTATTATTAAAATTTTTAACTTACAAATAATTGGTTAAAGGGACTGTTTTCTTCAATTTATCATCATCATCGTCAAGTAGCAGGTCTTTTGCAGACTGTCACTCCCATTATGGTCTGCCTGAAAGAAACTCAATCACTCACCAGCTCTCCTACCTTGTGCTGTTTCCTAAACAAGGTGTCCCTTTTATACTGCTCCAATCTTTGTGCTGATTGGCCCCTGATTCTCTTTCCTGGTACCATGCCTTCTGCTTTTCACCATGGTGCTTGCTATGGCCAGCATATTTCAGTTTCCAGGGTGAAGATTCTGTTTATTATTAATTGATGTTTATATCCTTTTAGATATCAGTATTTCTTTTCGGTTTTTTTATTTTATAAAATGCAAGTTTTATTATCTTAAGCATTTGTTGACTACTCACTACTTGGACCATGAATGCCTTGATTGTGATTCTGTCAGTTGATACTCATCGTCTGACACTGAAATTTGGGCCAGCTAAAAATATTCTTGTCATTTGTTGCCAGTTTTAAATGTTTTTGGTTGGCTGTAAGATTTATTTCACTAAATACAAATGGGTCAGCTAACCAAGCAGTCTGTGCTCTAGTGGGTCCCAGGCCACTGTAATTTTTAGGAAAATGGAAGAGCAGACTACTTAGCTAGAGTTGGAAGTCAAACAGAAAAGCCAGATACAGGATGCACTTATGAAAATAAATAAAACTGGAATCAAGGCAGCCGTTAGAACCCTTTGGATCACTTCCAGTTCAAGACACAATCCTAAAGACCCGGTCAACCTCCTCACATAAAAGAAACAAACCATTATATTTAGATTGCATACTGGACACAACAAACTTTGCAGCCAGATGTACAAGAAATTCAAGATTGCAGGTTCAGAATTTTGCCCATCTGGACTGGAACCACAGAATATTGAACATATGCCACATGATTGGCCAGCTGGCATTCAAGTGGAAACCGAGTTGTATGAAACTGTGGAAGGCATGTGTCCAACCACAGACTTCATAGAGGCATGTTGATTTCTCATCTGAATACCACTGTTAGGGAGAATGACAAGAAAAGAAGAACATTTCACTGAAGTAGCAAGTTAAAGTGAAGAAGGTTCAGCAATCAATAAAGGTTTTATAAATAACAATATGTAATATACTCTTACTGTGTAGGGTTATGGCAGATGTCGTGCAGGCCCTTTGGGAAAAAGTAACAAAGTCAGAAGAAAAACTGGAGTATTATGGCCTGGAGAGAATGATGCACCTGGGTGTAACCAGAGGGTCTGGTTTCTACACTCAGAGGAAAGGCAAGCAGGACATATAACCAGACTACGACCGGTACCATCAGTGTTGGAACTCTGTGCTGGCTGCTAAAGATGGGAACAGAGCCCATATGGGAATGCTCCAGGTGCTGTGATGTCACTTCTTGACTTGGCTGAACTAAGTTGTGTGTGAATAAATTATTCTGCAACTTTAGGTGAAAGGAAGAACAGTGAAAGGATACATGACAATATCTGTGATTGTTTTACTTATCACTCTAATGATCACTGATATTTTTCTTGTTTGATGTTACAGTCCTGGGACAACAACACAGAAGAGAACAGAAATAGATTGACAGTCAAACGGACACTGCCATCTCAGGTTTACATCAACCCACCTGTAGCTATCATCAGTCCAGCTGCAACCATCGACAGTGACCACCCAGAGTTTGATGACCTCATCTATGCCCTCAAACTAGGCCGCAGCCTGACCCCCAGTGAGTTCTCCAGAAGCTTTGATGATGACATGGATCAGCTGTCTATAGCACTGGAACAGTATGAGACAAAGAGGATTAACATTGCAGACACACATGTTTGAGATTACTTGTTTTATTGTTTTTTTTTTTTTTTTTAATCTGCATCAGGTTCCTTCCATGTTTGTTTTGCTATTGATCAAGCATTTCTGGAGGTTTGTACTTTGACCCAGTGCCGTGTGAAGAGACAAGAAAACTGCTTTAGTGCTGTGGTCAGCATTCTTGCCTTCTAGCCTGATAGTTTTTTTAATCCAGAGATTTTGTTTTGTAAATTGGCCTTGCCTTCTAGGTTGATCTTCTGTCTTGAAGTGGTCAAACCATTTGCCTCACACTCTGAAGGTTGTGAGTTCATTTTATGGCTGATTAGTTCAGTTTACAAGTGCAATTTTACAGAAACCCCTGGGGATCATCACTGGAGCTACAGTGTTCATGCTTTGCTTGACACTCTTGATAAGCAGCCATCTGTTGTGTGGAGTGAGACAGCCAAATGGAATAAAACCTTGTGCAGGAAAGTCGATCCTCTTGACTTTAACCTTGAACCAGAATAACATGAATGTCAGAAAGTCTTCTTGGTGTACTATAAGCCTACTGATTCCCATGCTTTTCTATACATCCTATCATCTTTTCTGCAAGCTTCTGTGCCACCGTAGACTGTGTCAGGAGAACGACGACTTTCACCATAGGGCCGTAGAAATGCAGGACTTCTTCTGGCATTGAGGTTCCCCTGAACTTATCTTATCTGCTGCCTTTCACTAATCACGGTCTGTCAGTCATGCTGAGGCCCTCATTTCCAAGTGCAAACATCAACCCAACCGTCCTATCCTCTTACTTACATAACCCCCTCACAACATCTGTACCAAACACATTCTCCTCAGGCACCTCTCCTTCCTGCGAGCTGACCCGGTCATGAGCATGATCTTCTCTAAACTTTCTCTATTGGCCTATTGACATGACCATAACCTCAGGGATGTTTTAGTCAAGAGTCAGTTACATCCTACCTCTGAGTCCCACTTAGGCACAGTCTCCTACCAGAGACCTGTATGCAAGACCTGTCTGTATGTGGTTCAGGAGAAAAGTCTAGAATTCCCTAATGCCACCTTCCATATACACAAAGCATTCTGTTGCACAAGCCACATTGTCTGCAAAATGGGTGGTTAAAAAAATACATTGTGGAATGGGGCTATGACTAGCTGACAGGTTCAGGCAAAATCTTCTAGATATGCAGATTGGTGCCCTCAAACGAGTACTGTTACATTTAATTTTTCAGGAACACCTAGGCGTCCATGACATGGAGATAAGGCCATTAAATCTAGCCACTTCAGCAACAGAGTCCAAAAGTCTCTTGAGAATGGCTTTTTTTTTTTTTTTTAAACCTTTGGTACAATTACATCTAGGGGACTTAACTGTCAACACAGTTTGACCTAGTATCTTTGAGTCATGGCCCTCTTCATTCTCAAGCAATTAAATCTTGTCAGCCACACATGTCTTTGATTTCACTGGCCAGACTATAACATGACTGCTTTCAGGAATACATCAGTTAAGTAATTTTTTTTGGTATTCATATCTATACATGTGGTTTTGTTGATTTCTGTAAATGAGCTGATAAAGGCTCTGTAGCCGCAATGTTCACTTTCCATTTGTGTTTGTTATACAGTCGAGTCTGGATAAGTAGAAGTCGCAGAGACCTAAGAAAATGTTTCCACTTATCAGAATTTCTATTTATCCAGACAGCACACACAATAGAGAAAATTGCCGGGACTAAGCTGGTCATGTTGACTTAACCAAAATTCGACTTATCCGAATTCTACTTTTTTGGACTCGACTGTATTGTGAAACTGGCTGGTCTACTTTTCATGATATTCTGGAAAGTAAAGGTTGGGATGTGATAATAACCACTCTTCCATTGAATGCCGATTCTCCATCTTCTGTTGTCTTTTATCCTTTAGTGCTGCATAATCCCTCAGACTATCTATTTGTGTGCTATCTCTACCTGCACAGTTCTCGGCAACAGGACTAGCTATTTAATCCTAAATCCTTGGGTTCCACACCCTCCTGTCCTATATCTATGTTGCTTTTTTATGTTAATCTTCTTCTTCTTAGTGTTCATCGGTTGTAAACTCTGGCAAAAAGTTCACGTTGTTTGTCCACACCCGGATTTTGGTCTCATTGCAAAGTTGAGGTTTGCCTGCATATCAGGTTTAACGGATCTGGCTTATTTGTATGCAAACTGTTTCTTGCCTCTCAGGAAGATGCACCCTGACTTTGAAGGAAACACCTCTAATTAGTCATCTCCTGTGACAGGCTTGTTTGGCTGCCAGTGGGTCTATTCTTTGTTCCCCAAAATGGAGCCCTGGAACCCTCCACAGAGATATTAAGTTACTGATCTTTTGTGAGATCACCCAGTTTTCATCCTAATCAACATTTTCCTACACAATGGCAATAAAATGAATACCCTAAACTTTTTGCACATTTGAAAGTATCTTTATATTCTATACCAAACAAAAGTGAACTTGATAAAAGCTTCATAAAAATATGAGACAACCTAAATATACTAAAGTGTCTCAAGATGCGGAAATAGGCCCTTTTACTTGTGCATATAGTGAAACATGCTAGTGTTCATAAACTGTGTCTCCATGCCATAAACATTGTTTTCTCTGTCTGATTTGATTTGAGTAACAAGGAGGGGCAGGGACCAACCAACATGAAGATGGGCACAAGATATAAGTGACTCCTTGAGTATGACAGTAAATAAGGCGAGTGAGCTGGCGAGAGACCGAGTTTCTTTCAGGCAGACCGATGAGAGCGACGTTCTGCAAAGGACCTGATACATGATGATGATGAATAGGTAGGTACCAGGAGATACTGCAAAGTATATAAGAACCCTTTGCACGCCAGTAGTACATTGGGCATATATACAATCAGCACTCGATAAAGGATGTGGTCATCCTCACACTGGCTGCCTTTACTTTCTATGACATTACCTGGTACCCATTTTAGGCTTTTTCAACCTGGGAGCCAAGATCAATTTTGAAAAGTCTGCCTCAATGCTGATTTGAACCCTAGACCTTTGGCCTGACAGGCGAGCCACTGTGCTACTGCAGCTGCCTTATGAGCCTGGCAAAAATGGTCCTGTTTTATGTATCTTATTTGTTCAAATATTCTAAATCTATTTTGCTTTTTTAACTCACACATGCATTATCTGTTATTAATTGTTCCAGCCAAGAAAAAGCTGTTGACTTTTCAAGTGTTTTTTCCTCACTGAATTATCATGATTGACTTATAATATTTGTGTTGATAATCATAATTTTTCTTTCCATAGTTATATCTTTGCCATGTAGCTTTTGTACTTAATATCACTGAATTGTTATAGCTGACAAGTTGGCTAGACAAAGATAAGCATCATGTCCAGGTCACACACACAATCAAAGCACAACAGAAAATTGATAAATGTATCTGTTTAATGCAATTGAGTTAACCCTCCCACCCCATAAATGCCAAGATCTAGGCTTGTCGGGTCTTTTGATGGCGTGTTGTCTTTGGGCAGCAGTCACTTTGCTAGTATAACAGCTGTGGTGATGGTTGTGAGTGCATTATGTGAAGCAATGGTGGGTTCAATGATATTTCAAAAACAAAAAACAAAAATTTTTTTTTTACATATTATTTGAAGTAAAATAAAAATGTATTGCTTGTTTGCATGCAAACTGTTAAGTTCTTACCTCTCAAGAAGATGCACCCTGACTTTGGAGGATTCTCCTGTGGTTGGTTATATTGTGAGACCATCATATGTTATTGCATGTGATGATGTTCATTTTCTTGAGGAAGAACATTCTAAGAAAGTCTAAAGGAATTACACATGCCTGTTAGGCAGTATTGACTTGTGTGCACCAACTCTGTTCTCCTTATTTGTAACATTCACTGACATGGTTTTAGTTACTATAATTCTTTCTATTTTTTTTTAAAGACAGTTGCAACTTTACTTTAGGTTTGTTACAGCTGATGGTCTTTAATCCCTTTTGGAGATGAAATACAGATTTAGTTAGAGTAGGCAACCCTTATTTCACCTAAGCCCCTGCAAAAGTTGGGTTTATATATATATATATATATATATATATATATATATATATATATATATATATATATATATATATATATATATATATATATATATATATATATATATATATATATATATATAGACATACACTCACATATATATATATATATATAGACATTTTCAGGTGAGTATCGATCTGCAAACCTGCTATTTTTAAATCGCAAGTGTGACCAAACCAAAATTATTATAGCAGGTTAACAACCTCCCTCTACCAGTTACATATATATACACACATGCACACAATAATTATGTTTCACATAAAATATGAGAACTTAGTTGAATCTGTTATGCATGTTCTATGTTCTTGATTATTGTGTATTCACATTTGGAAGTAAGATTGCTGTTGTTATTTTTGACATACAAATGAATTTATATAATTATGCATTTAAGTTTGTAATTAATAAATTTGCTTTTGGAATAATTTCTATACTTGTAACCAGTTTTTGTTTGTTATACAAAAAGTCATTTATGCAGGCTTGGTAATACTGGGTGAGGAGAGGATTGCATCAGTGTGTGAACAACAGTAAGACTTGTGTAGGCTTCTAACCCCATTAGGCAGTGAGTGCCAGGACTGGCTAGCAGGTGCTGTAGAATTAGAAGTTTAACAAATGATTCATGAGAATTTCTGTTCAGGTGATGTGATTAAACACAGATGGCTTTGTGTCTAGAGACAAAAATTCTTGCAGCTTAGCAGCAACTATCTTCTCCAAGACCTTCCAAAAGTTGCCAACTAACCCCTTTCTAACTGCCTCCCTGATGGGGTGACTGCAGTCAAGCTAATACAAGGAATTCCAGGGAAATTTGACTAAATAGCTTAACCAAATGGGGAAACGTTTTTCTGGAGTCCACCGTGGGGGCTGTAGAAAAATTAGTTCTGGCAGTTCTGTTGCATGCTCCCTGTTTGAGGCATCCAAGAAGATTGTTGGTCCACTTATACCGGAAGGTCTTGCC